GCGAGGGGTAAGGGCGGAGTCGGTCTGCTCGGCTCAAGAGGGGCGACATTGAACCCCCGCCGGAAGTGGGGCAAACCGTGTCTTGTGCACCCTCGGCGGGTACACGTATACCGGGGTGCGTAAACGCGTACCCGCGCCGAGCACCGAGGGGTGCAGGCTTTTTATTTCAAAGGTACGGCCGCCACTTCCGACCCTCCGGGAGGGGTGGTTAACCTCCTCCCCCGGGACCGACCCCCCGACGAGTGCATAAGATATCGCGGGGGCGGCGGGGGCGGCGAAGGAGGCACCGAGGAGAAGAGAAGCAAAGTTCGCCACCTGGTGAATCGATACGCCCGGAGGGGAGGGTGGCGCGAGAGAGGCCGAGGGAGGGCGGCGAAGGAGACGCGAGAGAGACGGAGCCCTCGGGACCCCCTCGGACGAGGGTGGACCGCGGGCCGCCCTTTGCCTCCACCTTGCCTTCATATGAATGAAAGCGTTGTGCCCTCCGACCCTGCTGCACCCTTGCCGGGTTGCACCCCGCCGAAGTGGGAGAGGTTGCAAAACTTGCATCGAGAAGGAAAAAAATCCATCCAACCGGAGAGAAATTTCTTTGAATGGTCCCACGGAAATATTTGGATAATTCCAAGGGTAATTATTTCACTAAAATAAATTGCCATAATTTCCAATAAACGTTGCGTGCAATTTATCCGAGTTTATTTGAGATAAATTATTATTCCTCGAATTGACAGGATGCGTCTTTGGTTCAGTGACAATTTTGCTTTAGGGTTGCAGCAGAGTTCTCCCTCTCTGAAATTCGACCCTTTTTTTTGTCGCGCAAATTTAATTTCTTATATATATATATTTTTTTTTTTATTCAAGTCATACAGAGACAACGTCCTTTCATGTCGAGGAGCGTAGACGCAACGCGTTCTCAAAACGCGTCCCTGAATGCGGCGGGGAGCCCTCTAAACGACCGCTTCGTGCGCGTCCACGTTACATCGAAGGACAAAACGAATCTCGACTCGTTACGTCACGACGACGACGACAAACGTCCGCGAACGGCACCCAACACGAGGGCGGATTTCCCTGTAGATGTGCACTCGCATACGGCGAGGACTTTGCGAAGCCCGATACCGGGCCCGGCATCAACGATGTCGAGGCAGTTGTGCCAATTTCCTTTCATTGAAAGTACTCTCCTCCCCCCCCCCTCTCTCTCTCCCTCTCTCTCTTTCGCTCTCTCCGTCCGACGGATTCTCGGGCGCTGCGACGCGGACGTGTACGTGCTTTCTCGTTACGTAAAAACGTCCACGGAAGAGACGGACGTTGACGCGCCGGTAGGAAGCGTTTTTCAAACTTTCCGCGATAGTCCAGAAAATGCGAGTCGATTTACGCGCGAGAGCAAACGGGCGGATACGCGCGTTGGGTGGTTCCACGCGGACCAATGCCGAAAATGAATTTTCTTCTTATACCCTTATGACCTGGACAGTGGTCAGCTTCGACGATCCTCGCGATCGGGACCCTCCGTCCTCGTTTCCGAGGACAGTGGAAGCGGCGGGGTAATTACTCCGGTAACTTCCGCGGATAATGAGGATTTAACGCGCAACACCGCGAGCGCCAGGGGATATCCCCGCAACGAGCGTCGGAGGGGCGAGAGGGCTCCGTCCCCGGGGAGGGTTAATTAACAAAATTCTAACTTAAATCCGAATAACATAATCCAATTAGAGCCCGCCGAGTGGAATTTCTTCCCCCGGAGTGTATCTCGCTCCCCTGGCCGCTCTCACAATTAGAGCCCCGACAGAGGGCACTGCAGTTATTCCCGGTACTCGTTACTCCGCGTGCACGCAAGGGCCTGTTTAATCCGTTAATTAATCCCCCCCCCCCCTTTCCCCGTTACGCTCTCCAGCTGGCTTTCTTCCTTCTCGTAAATCGAACCCGCGGACGTAACGAAGGGTCGTCCACTCGCTCTAGTGTCCCGGACGCCCCGGAGACCCGTCGATATTCACGACCCACTTCTCGCCGTGGGTGATGCGCGACGTACGCGGAGAGGCGGCATCGCGAAACTTTGAGAGGGCGCCGACTCGTCGGTCGGCAAAGTTGGTCGCGTCGGTACCGGGGCGCGGGGGACCCCGGGCGGCGATCACGCGATTCGCTCGAAAATAGCCGCGCGAGAAGAGGGGAATGCTCCGAGACGCGATAAGTCGGTCGGGAGGGAAGCTCCCCCTCCCCTGAGGGAACGACCGACACGCGACTTTCGGCCGGCGCGGAACGCCCGGAACGTTGTGGTCCGGTCCCCGCCGACTGACGTAACCTCCCGCGGCATCGGCCCAACGGGGGCGGAATCACCCCGAGCGCGTCCACGCGGAAAACTGACCCCAGCGGCGCTTTACCCGATTCCACTCGTACGACCCCCGTGCCCGGGGCGACGACGGGGACCCGGGAAACCCGACGAAAGGATAACCTCTTGACCGTTTCGGGGAAGACGCGACGCGACGCTTGATCGGGTCTCCGCAGGCGCGATCCACGCTTTGCGCCGCGCCGCGCTAATGCGGCGTGACGTAACCTGACGCAACGCCGACCACGTGACCGAGCACGTGGTCCGCGACGCCAGCGCTCGACGGAGGACGGAGGAACCGGCTGGACGTTTTATGACAAGTATTGCCGTTCCGTCGAGGCTCGTCGGAAAGAGGGGAAGGGATGCGGCGAGTATTTGAAGGAAACGCTGCAGCGTTTCGACGCGACCGTATTTACTTCTCCACCCGAGTCCAATATCGTGCGATCGCCTCTCGCGCCCCTTTGCAGGTTATGCTCGCCGTGTGCGCCGCGAAGCGTTTACTAATCGCTTCCTTTGCGTGAGATACGGCACGCGACTTTGCGTACGGCGATTGCGACTGCGAAATGTTCGTAATCATAGGACGGGGAGTCATGCACCGCGCCGATCGATTCCAGTCGGTTTTCTTTTATCTTTTAATGGGGTAGTCGGCTATTTTTGAGTTGGGGGTAATTCCGGGCCCGACGTCCCTAAACGGAATTTCTTCCGGGTTATCGCGCCCGTTAATCGTAATCGCGCCTATTCGCGGACGTTCCGCGGCGGCGTCGTCGACCTCGCCGTTCGTTACGTGCCGCGGAAAGTTAACTGACGTAACTCGACCACGTGTCGGCCGAGATGCTCTCGAAGCGCGCTCGAGGATGTGGTACGCGCCTCGCTAAACGGCTTACCATTCACACTTATTGTCCACACTCAAGCTCTTTCACGCCCCACGAGCCGCATCCAGCACGCGACTTTCAACTTTTACCGAGTACAGGGCCGATATTGTCCAGGAACGGTACGACCCCGTTCCGACGTCCGTCTTCGGCCACTCCATGCCGGGGATTCCTCCAAAACGTTCCGAGAATTATTTTCCATCACTTTTTTCTAATACACATTTGCATATGTATTTTTTTACATCCTCCTTGTCAGTCTTGCAGCCTTAATTTTGGGGCTCCTTGACCTCGAGAAGGGGAAGAAGCATCCCTCTTTGGGAAAACTGAAAATTGAATCGCGACCGATTTTAGAGCCTTGCCATTTCCACCTCAGGGAAAATGACGGATTAAGGCAAGGGTTTAATTTCTCTTCGATGAATACAGCGCCTATGCGAGGAACGAGATGAAAATCGAGGGAGGATCTCGAGACGGTTTCGAGACCTTCTTTCGTTATCGCTTTTCCCCTGTTAATTTTTATCGCCTCGGTTCTCGACGCAGGACGAGCTTCGGCTCGATCGCGGGGTGTAAGGGCTTTTCATTTTCCCCGGGACACCGGTGCTTTTGTACCTCCGAACGGAGGTAGGCATCCCGGGCGACTCGGTCCCAATTATTTTCAATCCCGCGAAGCCCCTCCGGGGGAGATTTATGAATTTGGCCCGTCCCGTCGCCATTGTCGGCGCTACCAGCGAATTCTCGACGCTCTGTCAAGATACCGTTGACGATCCGCGAATCGCGCCGATAATTCTCCCTTTTTTTTTTCTACATTCCATTGGCCTGCCGAAAATGGACCCGTTCAATTTTATTATGCGACAATTTTGGATCTCTAATTGCCTTTGGAGTAATTCCGTCGTGGTCCCTGGTGATGGATAATTTATTGATTGCGATTTATAATGTCGACTTAATTGTCCTGGGAATTGCGCGGCGAGTGTAGAGATGCGGATCGACTAAGTACCGCAATGTACGTACGGCTGGTCAATAATTTAGCGGCGAACCGCACTATATTCGCGATTCCGCGAACCGCGGGATATTTTTAATGCTTTATCGGCCACTTTTCACCCACGATTCTTCGCGGGGGGCAAGGTCGATAATGCCAGGGTGAGAAGGAATCGCGGACGGACCCTCGACTCCGTCCGACGACACGTGGGAGACCTCGACGTAACGTGCATTTTTATTTCCCTTTCTTGCCCACGTATATGAAAAGTTTATTTCAATGGTAGAAACGCGATTCCCCTGGGGCTCCTTCGTGCGAGCGTTTTCTCTCGGTTGCGCGTTTTCGGCTCTCCTTATAAATATTAATAAAATCTTCCCCCGTGACGTTGCACCATCCGGTGCAACGATCATTGCGATATTCATCCTGCAATCGCGCCGAGGGAAATAGTTCTTACCCACCGCCGATTGTTGCATGGACGATCACGAGAACGAAGATTCTTCGCTGAATCGCCGTTTTTTAATTCAATCTCTTATCTCGAGATTAATTCCCGGCATCCGCGCGGCGGAGGCGCTTTTTCGTAGCTGATCTACTTTGTGTCCGGACCGTGTAACATAAGACTAAACGACGTTACGGACCCAAAATAACCGAATCGCCCTGCTGACCCCGCTACCAGGAGTAGCGAACTTTGTAGCCGGAATTGACTAATTAACCTAATAGACGATTGATTATCATCGATGAAATTCAGGGTAAAAAAAAATGTCGCGCGGATAGTTCAAAAAATTGCATCGTTCTCGACGATGGTAATCATCGATTCGGGGATCTCATTTCCTGGTTTTTCTCGCCTGTGCAGATGTCACGCCATCGGAGCAGGAGGAGCTGTTCATCAGGAAGCTGCGGCAGTGCTGCGTGACTTTCGACTTCATGGACCCTGTAGCTGATCTTAAGTGCAAGGAAATCAAACGCAGCACCCTCAATGAATTGGTCGATCACATCACAGTGGGCCGAGGGGTGCTCACCGAACCCGTATATGCCGAGATCATTAAGATGGTAGGACTGCTGGCCACCGTTCGGCGATCCTAATTTTTCATTTTTTTCCTAATATTGCAGGGAGTCCGGGAAGTCTCGACCACGAAGTAGTACAAGGAGATACAACGCCATGTCGTCCCCACTTTATGGGTTTCGCTTTGCGTACCTTGATTGCAAAATATTAAAAACATTTTGGGTAATTTACAACGGTAGGAAATGCTTTGCTCGCGTAGGATCGAAGTTTCCTCATCGTCCGCAAGTGGCGCTCGGATCGTTGGATCCAGGAAAATCTGAGCTCCTGGGTCCCGATTTTGGGTTTACTTTCTGTGGAACCGAACATCGGCGTTATGGCTCCTTGAAGTACTTCCTGGTGTCGACGAAAAAGCGGGAGAAGCCTCAGGGGCCGTCATCGATCGCCTCGTTTTTACTTATCCGTGGATTATTTGTCGCTCGCTCGATGCTTCGTTCGTTAGCCAACGTCACGAGGGAAGGTGGGGATTTAACGAGACTTTTTTTTTTCTGTTTAAGAAAGCTCACGTCCCGCCAGCCTTAATTAATAGGGTTAACGGGGCAAACGGGGAACCGTTTCTGTAAAAAGGGACGATCGATGCGACCCGAAGGTTACACGTGTAACGGAGACACACGGACTAATAGTAAAGGTTAAGGCAGGTGGATCGATTAAACGGGAATATACTCCTTTTCAGATTTCGGCGAACCTATTTCGCACGTTGCCGCCCAGCGAAAATCCGGACTTCGACCCCGAGGAGGACGACCCGACCCTGGAGGCGAGCTGGCCCCACCTTCAGTTGGTTTACGAGTTCTTTCTACGCTTTCTCGAGTCCTCGGACTTCCAGCCTGCCATCGGTAAAAAGGTTATTGACCAAAAATTCGTTTTACAGGTACGTACCACCGTGGTTATTGTTTTTTTTTTTTTTTTTTTTTGTTAAAGCCAAACGTCCGAGCGCGACCGGTATTGATATGTGCACCGTCTCTTTCTCGTTGCAGTTGTTGGACTTGTTCGATTCGGAAGACCCTAGAGAAAGAGACTTCCTGAAAACCGTTTTACATCGTATCTACGGAAAGTTCCTCGGCCTTCGAGCCTTCATACGCAAACAGATCAACAACATCTTCCTTAGGTAGCTATATAATTACGTCCGTTTAGGGCCCGAGGTAATTACCCATAAAAGGGTGATCCTCTCCGATTTTCGTGTAACTTTGATATATTGACGGGGTGGAGTTCCGGGGGAGAAAGGGGAAGAAGGAAGACGTCCTCTCCTGAGGGGTGTCCTGGGTGTCCTTGTTTCTCCCTGAATCCGGGTCCTGAAGTGGACATCCGTCGGTGCCATTCGCGATGCGGAAGTTCGTCACCATGAAATCAATGGGACGTTCACGTTCGAGTTAATTGGTCGGGGCAACGGATGGTGCAGGAGTTTGGGAACTGCAAACTTCCGTAGCGTGCCGCTTTGCATGGATTTCCACGAGCCAGACGGCACCTAAGTGTTCGGTTTTGGAGTGTCACGGGGTGTCTTCCTCTTCCTCCGAGGTCTCCGTCGAAGATTCCGCGACGTACATCCTGAATTTGATACTCTAATTCCCAAAGTTTTGGTACTTACGACCACTTTATCGCCACAGGTTCGTGTATGAGACGGAACACTTCAACGGGGTTGGCGAACTCTTGGAGATATTGGGCAGCATTATCAACGGGTTCGCTCTGCCCCTTAAGGTCGAACACAAGCAATTCTTGGTCAAGGTACGCTGGGTGAAGTCTTCCGTATTTTACTATTTGGCGGTTACGCCCAGCGAGTCCTGCACGTCGAATTTCTTAATCGGCAGGTGCTGCTCCCGCTCCACAAAGTAAAGTGCTTGTCGCTATACCACGCGCAGCTCGCTTATTGCGTGGTGCAATTTCTGGAGAAGGACAATACTCTGACGGAGGCAGTTATAAAGGGCCTCCTTAAGTACTGGCCTAAGACTTGTAGCCAGAAGGAGGTTATGTTCCTTGGGGAAATCGAGGAGATACTGGATGTCGTAGAACCTAACCAATTTGTTAAAATACAGGAACCCGTGTTCAGGCAACTCGCGCGTTGCGTGTCGTCACCCCACTTCCAGGTAATTCGTACTTTCCTAATCGTTCGTTAAGTCGCACGGATTATAAATTCATCCCTCCCTCAATTTACGCGGTATAATTCTAACACAATTGATGTATTTCTAAAACTTAGATCCACTGGCATATATTTCCAATATATTTCCTTTCGTCCCGACAGAGTTTATTTACGCGATTTTCATTCGTGGAAAGCGAATCCACGTGGAACGGATACTCCGCGTAAATTGAGGGACGAGGGTGACGTTAAAATAAATAAATCGTTCCTGCAACTAACCGAGGTCGTGCGTTTCTCTTTCCAAAGGTCGCAGAAAGAGCGTTGTTCTTCTGGAACAACGAGTACGTAATGTCGCTGGTGGAGGAGAACAACCACGTAATAATGGGGATCATGTTCCCCGCCCTGTACAGAATCAGCAAAGAGCACTGGAACGCCACGATCATAGCCCTTGTCTATAACGTTTTAAAGACCTTCATGGAGATGAACAGCAAGCTTTTCGACGAGCTCACCGCGAGCTACAAGTCCGAGAGGCAAAAGTAAGTGGCCCGACTGGAGAATACCGTGAAATGTACGCGCGCGGTAATTTTTTTAATAGGAGGGCCCGACCCGGGGAAAGCTCGCCGAGGAATTTAACGACGATTTGACGGGGTCCTTTGTGCTTTTAGAGAAAAGAAGAAGGAGAAGGAAAGGGACGAACTGTGGAAGAGACTGAACGAGCTGGAGCTAGAGCGACGTGGGGCTCTCACAGCCGCCTCTAATACTCCAGTTCCTGCCATTACAGCACCCCCGACACGAGCCCGCCCCTGAGCTGGTAAATATGGCACCGACTGCCGATTTCACGGCAACGAGTAGAACACACACGGTAGAACCTTTCTATTTGGAACAGCTCTTGTTCGCAGGCTGATCTCGTTTTAACGCGCGAGTTTGGGAAGGCCCGGTTCCCGTGGCTTGTGTGTTCCTTTCGAGATACCGGGGTGTACTCGTGATTTCATCGAATCAGGGTCCGGGCGTAACAATTGACATCCATTGAAACTAGAGCGATTGCCCGAGAGAGAGGTCCCTTTCGATTTAAATCCGACGATTGTATCCCGCGGTGGTAATAACGCGATAACGACATTAGCGAATATCAAAGGAGGAATTTCGCTTCTTGTTGTACGGTCGTATGTACGAGAGAGGAAATCACGCTGTTCTTTGTGTTCGGCTTGTCGAGGGGCACGCACGAGGAATGCAAAATTCGCTGTCACTCTTCTTCTTCTTCCCCCCCCCCCCCATTGCTAACGCTTAGGGTTTCAGTACGTTTTAGCGCGCATACGATATCTGCTTGATTCGTTGTTTTCGGTCCAATTGTTATTAAATCAAAGATCGATCGTGTTTCCCTGGAGGAAGAACCGAGATTGCGTTCGGCATGTGGAACTTTGGAGAACGTGGAGAGCGACAGTTTTTCTCGGGTATTTTACGGTTCACCTCTTTTCTTTTGTAACTTCATAGAAATTTTCTATAGTGTACATATCAATGGGGATCTTATGTTTTGTATGATTAACTTAGAAGGTAGGTGCATTTCGTAGATAAAAAAAAAACATTGAATGTCTTCACGCCCTTAACGCGTTGCACCGAATAAACGACGTAGCAAAAAAAAAAAAGAAAAATGATCGTTGCTCTGAATTTTGTTTCCTTTTTTTTTAATCGTCCTTAGCAGTCATCCCTTCCGATGACTATTAATCAAGATACGCAAAACTGTGTTTGTTAAGAATCGTAGCGGTACCAGATTCGTAGGATTACCAGACGAGGACAGTATCAGGACGAACGGCATAAACTGTCTGGAGAACGTAGAGCATTCACGATATTAAGGAACGCATGTTTATATGTATATGTATGTAAGGACATTATTCCTACGAATTGAAACACGAGAAATCCACTTGGCATATTTCTGTGATTACGATAGCAAACAAACTGTTAAACATTTTCTATGTACATTCAACAGTCTCATAAATGTATTCCTTTATGTATAAGTATTCAAATTTTAATAAAGTTAATTGTATTTGAATGTGGACTTGTCTTGGTGAAAACGGCCTGCCAATCGTAAAACCGTGACCGAAAAGCACTAGTACTTACGCGCGCTTACCTACAAGAAAGAAGCATTGTTCCAAATAGAGGTTCGTTTGAGAAGCTTATTGAAGGAGAAAAGAGAGGAAAGAAAAAATTAGAAAGATCAGATTCACGTAATAAAAAGAAAATGAGCTCTCTCGGCTGCTCTCAACAGACTCTCCCTGCAACTTTATCACGTTATGATCTCTCTTCTGTTGCAGGTGGAACGACGTTACCACCAAGCTGCCCACTTGTTAGTCCTTAGTTTACGTCGATTGTCCATACACTACAAGGCAAAAAAAAGCAAATTATCGTTGTTAGCGAGAACAAAGGTGTCCCACGCGATGGCACTCTTGACGTAATGTAACAATTCCTTTCGTTAGTCGCGCCCGAAAGGCCGAGCCGAGGAGAGGAGAGAACTATCGGAGGGAGCGGTAATAAATCCATTTCTCGATCCTCGCGAGGCCGCGGCGACCGATCGGCGACGTCGAAGATTTCTTTTTTTCTTTTTTTTTTTTTAACGAGTCTTCGTTGTGTATATTAATTTTTCTCTCCCCCCGTTTCTGTTACTTTCTTTTTTCCTTCCCTCTTCTTCTGTTTTTAACCCCTTCGACGGCAACTATTTAAGTTGTACGGTGTACTCAGTGTCAGCACATAATACGAGGATGTCAGACCCTTCTTTTAAGGGGATACGAAAGTGTTATCTAAAGTCAATAGTTTATGAAACTTTTCTCCGAAATAGGTGTGCCGAATCGTTTCAAACCTTGCAACGTGAATATAGACGCTATAAAGAAGGTTTCTACCCCCGTGAAATTCAATTCTTTTTTTTTAATGTTAAAAGTACCTATAAACAAATTTTTAAAAAATTGAAATTTAGTGAGTTTCAGGACCTCCCTTGTAGCCTCCGTATTTATATTGCAAGGTTTGAATCGATTCGGTACACCCGGTTTGGAGAAAAGTTTCACGAACGAGAACTCTGACGCCACTTTCGCATCACCTTAATTAACCCTTTACCGACCGGGGAATTTGGAAGTAAATGGTGATCGCGGGCATCGCAAAACCGATTGATAGGCCTCCGGTCGGTAAAGTGTTAAGGTTCGCCGTGTCCCGTGGGAGAGGACGATCAAGGGTTGGGAACGCGCGAAGACGATCGAAGGACTATCGAGAACCTCTCTCGGATTTGTATCCTCTGGTTTCTTTCTCCCTCCCACTCCTCGAGTCGTCTCTTCCTCTTCTTGCACCGGGAGCCGAATGTCGGGGGGGACCGGAAGTAGCGGGGCGACCACCCCCCGGAAGCTCGCCTCGCTCTGATCGTCGTCCCCGACAACCAGCAGGGGCGTTGTTTGAAATGTATCATATATTCGTATTGATGATAACGATAACTATAACAAAACATAATAAATTAGGTAAAGTATATATATATATATATAAAATATATATAATACAGTATATTATAAAGATATATAGTAATACCGATGATACGACGGAAGTCACGTACACTGAGAGAAAGAGAGAGAGAGAAAGAGCGAGCGAGCGAGAGAGAGAGAAAGAGAAATATATATATACACGGATACGGAACACCCGCACACGTGCGACACCCTGAACACACGTTAACATGTACACGAGAATTCGCGGTATATATATATATAAATAAATATATATAATAAAAATGTGAAAAGAGAAAGGAGAAGCGCACGTAACCGTGCACCGACTCATGTGCTACCGAATACTAATATTGCGCTGACTGCATGCCCGGGCTCTCGAGGAGCGACCTTTTTTCAAGGACGAGCGACGAACCGTAGGGATATGCCAGCACCGCATAAAGTAACATTAACGATTAATAAATATCGAGAGAGAAAAAAAGAAACCATTGAGAGTGAGAAAGAGAGCGCGAGCCAGCGGGAGAGAAAGGGAGAGAGAGAAAGGGGAACGTAAGGAAATATATGTTGTTTTTTAAATAAAAGGAGAGAAAAAAGAAAATACCGAGAAATAAAAGATACGCGAGGGGCGAGTATACAATAAAGAAACTTTAATTGTACCAAAATATCCATGGTTGCTTATAAATATAAATAAATAGTAGAGATACAGTGCATAAGATTTATTCGGAGCTGTGCTCCCACCAACCACCGTAAAACAGTGTTACGTGGGATCGTTTTTAAGGTTTTCTTACCATTGCATAATTATGCCGGAATAAATAGACGATGTTAAGGATAATTAACGCCGAGGTGACGGTCGCCTCGCGAGGGTCGGGGACGATCGTTTCCCCTCGGTAATCGTCGTCGTAAACATGTCGATCGCTTTGTAATCACTTCTTTCCCGTTTTCGTGGTGCTCCCCTCGTTTGTACGCTTTTCGGTCGCTTCTAAGGAGGCGCTGCGTCGGAGTCGTTAAATCGTAGAGGGCGAATTGCATGCGAATCGCCGATCTGTTAGTGCCACTCCTCGAAGAGTCAGAAAGGAGAAATTTCTGCCGTGTAAATGAGTATTTATCGAGCGAGCATCCAATTTCACTCACGACTGTCGCCCGCGTACACACACCCACACGTACACTCCCCAATATATGCCACTCGTTTACGTATATATACATATTATATATATAAATACATCAGCCACGAGTAGCGAACCGAGAAGATTGTTTTACACTACTATAATATATTTTTACTGTTTACCATTAGGTTGTATCACTCGTGACGATTAATTCTCCGTTCGCAGAGCTCCCTGTACAAAGAACTAATAAACAGTGGAATCCAAGGATGTGGTCGGGATAAAAATGGGGGAGGTTGGGTAGTCCGACGGAAATTTTATGGAAAAAAAAAAATATGATGTAGCCCTGGAGGAGAGGCCATCAAAGTGGCAGAGCGAATAAATGGTCCAGTCCCCACGTTATGGTCTCGTATCCGTAGAAAGTCGCCGCGTTTACGGGAAAGGATCTCACGATGATGACGGAGGAGCCCCTGAAGAGGCAGGTCATCCCTCCGGCTCGGCACATTTTCCAGTAACAGTCCATCATGCCTTTGTAGGACGGATTTTTGAAGTCGTCCGCCTGCAGCCGCGACTTTATGTTGTCGAGCGGAACCACTGGTATCCAGGAAATCGCTCCTGTACGAAGAACGACGCCGAAGCGTTTCGTCGAAACTGGAAAATAATATAAGACTTCGTTTCTCACCTGCGCAGCCACCTGCCAGGAGGACCTCAAGAGTTCCTGGTTTCCAGTCCATCACGCTACGGATGTAATGGCGCATGTGCTGGTACGAGAACACGTAAATGCCGCACCCCACGACGTCCCTGTACTCGAGGGTCGTAATTGCAACCGTGTTAAAGGAGTCCCGGATTTTCCTAAAATTAATCTAGGGAATTAGGTGTCGACGGACCTGTACAGCATCGGCACGATCCCCACGTAGAGGCCGCGAAATCCATGCCGGAAGTACACGTTCCTCAGGGTCAGAAACGCGCTGGGCCTTCCGAAGTACCTTCGGCGAAAGCAGTTTTCCTCCTTATGGTTTTAAGGAATTTACACCTGGATATCTCGTGATTAGAAGAAGGAACCGCGGGTTACCTGTGCGACCCTCGGACTCGCCTCTTGGAGAGCGCCTCGGCGGAGAAAATACCTTTCCCCACTTGCATCCTTATTTTGACGACCTCGCTGGGGCACGAGGCGAATACCTGCACGAGTCCACCCAGACAACCCGCGGTCAACGTGTCCCAGTGGTAGCCTTTGCTCGTAGGGAAGATCTGCACGTCGCCGTTCCCTCGCAGCTTTTGCAGGAACCTCAGGCTACTCGCGTAGACGCCGAAGAAGATCGAGTTCATCAAGCCCGAGGTCAACAATGGGAACAGCATTCCTCGGTACAGGCCAGAAATCTGCGATTCGCGTAAGTTACTTATTATTTCGTCGTAAACGCGATTTAGGAAAGTAATAATTTTCGGCCACTCGTCGACGTACCCCGTCCTTCTTGAAGACGCCGATGGCGACCGCCATGCTGGAGAAATTGTCGTTGCGGAGCACAATTTGTTGGTAAATCTTGACAGTGTCCAGGGGGTGCCCGACCAGTAAACCAGCCATACCTTGAGGAGATTCGTTGTAAAACCATTTTATTCAATAAGGGCCAGCGAATTGGTTTAAATAATCCTCTTAGCTTTTCACTTTACCACCTCCCCATCCGGCGAAGAAGTCGAAAAGTGTTTCCATGAGATTTCATCCCTCCTTGGTTTTAGCGGTTGGGCTTTGCTATTAAATGACTGTGACGGTGTCTTTGCGGTCCAATCGACGAATCAAACTTTTTGGAATTAGAAATATTGGACGGAATGACAGCACGTCGCGAAGCCCATGGCTTGAGAGACGTTCAGATCGCACGTCTGCAGAGAAAACCTATTTACACGCGGGCAAAACGTGTCCGCGCAAATATGCCATACCCAAGCCCTCTAATTGAAATAGGATTAAAAGTCTCAAGGAAACTAACGTTAAGCTACGACCTCTTTAAGGCTGCAAGGCAGCAAATCAGTGCAAAATTGCATTACGTGGGCATAGATTTGCGCCCTGGTACCTGGACGAGAATTGAAATAAGAAATTCTCGTTCGAATTTACTCGTTTCCATTTTTATTTCGAATCCGTTACGATACAATGGGAAAAATATGCTTTGACATTAGGCGCGCGCGCTCCTTAATGCTTAACCTAATTTAAATCGGTAAAATTACAAGAGATTGTAGGAAAACCCGGACGTCGTAACAACCGCTGGTAAATTCTGACTCGGATTTAAATAATGAAAATAATGAAAACGAGTCGAATTTGCCGCCGGTCGTTGCTCGTCCGCGTTCTCGACTTTGGAAGAGATTCTCTACACTTAACTCGATTATCTTAAGTACGGTTAGACCGGATCGTAAATTTGCTGATTGCCTCTGTCGAGTCGTTGACAACGGGATTATGCTGTCCGCGTAATGACCTTTTTTTTTCCCTTTTATTACATTAGTAGATGCATAAGCTGACTAGCAAGTTTTACAGATCACAGGTGGAAGGGTGCGCTGCACATCCTGTACGTCTTCGTTACTCGTAAGAACATGCCGCGGAGGTATCGACTTTCAATAATTTATTTAAACGTAAGTTCTCTTCCCTGCTTGAGATACTGTACACAGTCGGATATAAGTACGACGCGTTGCGCGAGAGCACTGAGATTTTTTATCTCTTCCCAGCTAGAACCACCGATACGATGTTGTCTCATTATTTAACGCAATGCCTTTTTTTAAGCAGGGACGGATACGACGTTGAAATTGCTTTTAATCCGATCACGTGAGTAATATTAATTCTTTACATTATTATCACTTTGAAATAACACGAACGTCTGCATAAAGGAAAGCTGTTTAACCTCCTGTCATTCGTGGTTGAGAATTCATGGATTGAACGTGTCATGTTTTACAACTGGAGTTGACATTATTCAGTCACGTGGGTTGTTCTAGTCGCTTAACAATTTATGCGATAAAAGGCAGTCTGGGACGTGATTCGCAATTATTTCAACCGAGCGTGTAAAATTATTTGACACGATTACGAACACACAATCGAAGAGCGAAACGGATAACGAACATGCATTACCTTTTTTTTTTTCCATAAATAATCCGTTAAATAGAATCACATTGTCATTTCAATTGCTATTAATTAGAAACGAGGATGCCTAAGTTACAAACACTGACAAGTTTCGAATTTTTCCATAAGCCAAGCTAGTGGAATTATTGCACCCTATCGCAATTGACGCGACAATGTTCCTAAAATTAATATACAATCTAATAATTGCGAGCTGTCAATTATGACAGAAAGAAAAGTACCACCCCCGTCGTATGGTTCGACCGAGGATGATCAGTGCAAAATATAAGTACACAAGTAACAACAATAATCGAATGAAAACGTAGTAATATATATACACGTTATTCTAATAAATAAAAACGCAAGTAGACGGATGTCTTTAGACACGTTCGTTGCAAAATTACGATAATTCCATGTAATCGCGATTTCCCTGCGGCTTCCCTATGTTAGATAAGGCTAAATTAGTGTACAATTGTTGCGCTCGCCTTTCGCTTTCGGATAAGCCCGTGTCAAAGTCCTCAGTGCACTCTGAAACGTCGTCGCAGCTTTTTAAAATTTAATAAAATAATTCTGCCGGCCGACATTCGACGCATTTTAAAACGATCGCCGACAGACCTGAAAGAATTGACACGCGCTTATCTTTTCGCCGGTTAACGTTAATCTCGTAGTTGTGCCATGAAATGTTAAAACATTATACTATAAGCATACGCGCGATTAAAAATGCATCACAAGTAACCGTTTCATAGCTGCCTGAATCAGTTTAAACAATTTTTAGAGCTCTTGACGATCGGGAGTCAAAATACATGCTTGCATCACAATGTGCAAATCGGGGGGTAAACAAGCGTAAATGGCTCGGGTGTTTGCGACGTACTGGTTGCTGAAAAAGCGGCGAAGCCAAGCATCGCTAGGGATAAAAAAAGTAAGAAAAAGTCCTAGTTACCGCATCAAATGTAGACGGAATTCCATGGATGGATGTGGATATGCGGAATTGAGTCAGCATATTCCGATTTAGATAAATAACTCCCTGTACATCGAATGCAGCGTTACGCCCTAGTTCGCTTACTCTAGTTGCACCTCCGTAGCCCAATGAACGATTGCACACGAATATCATTCGATTAAGTGAAAATTTACACTATTAAGTTCACTTGCGATTCGGAGAGTGCACCGAATTGTCGCCGGCACACCGGCGGTGGAGTATTGTACTTTGAAACGTTATTTACATGCACAAGAACGCAACTCGGTAATACCTAGACTGTGCAGTACTAGTCTTATGCAGGAACTCAATAAATATGTATATAAGTATAAATTACTTTTATAACGAAAATAATACCCGGCGCTATAACGTCAGCCGGTTTACTAGACACCTCCGGAAATAATAATTCGGTTTAGACGGACCTTATGCAAATAGATCGAACGGTTTGCAATAACATTTACAGAATGGTTTAGTCAAAGTATTCATATAGCTCGTTACCTCTGCCATGACTAGAAGCGAAACAAGGCAGTTTATGGTAGCGTTCCTTTAACGTTAGCAAAATGTAAATAAAGAAGAAAATTAATAAACGGAAGAAAACATTGTAAATAGGAACCTCGTCTATCGAAATATATTAGAATCTCAGTATCGTTGTGATAATAGCGACGACGAGCGTATCACTACTGCACCTATTTACAGTGCGAGATCTTTAATCCTGTAGGCCTGCGTAAGTGCGTTAATTAACTAGATTACGCTATAAGCTGTATCCAAAATATTTCTCGTAACGATATAAGCTTCACGGACATCCATTGCAAGATTTCACGGATCGGCATACAGACGCCATTTTGCGGAAAAAGCGATTCGATAGCATTCCAAAGACTCGGTCGAGCCAGTTATAATTATTTAAATATCGCAAGAGGATCGGAAAATGTGAAGTCGGAACACGAATCGAGCTACGAACTCTTCGTTGACTGAGAACACTGAAAATGCATAATTCTAGCGCAAATCACTGCGATTCTATTGGCGAGTAAGGCTCGAAAGAAGCGCAGAAGCGTCACCGATCACTCAGAGTGTCCTTGGAAAATTGTCTTACTCCATTTTCCAGGGTTTCCATAAGGTTCCCTAGACGACCCTGAATCGGAGATTCTAGACTAGTTCATGAAAATTCATGTCGGCCTTGCGTTCAACGCACAATTATCAGGGCGAGTATTGACTTCCTTCTGGAGCCCTGACGGAAGGTCAACGCACTTACTTTGTAAGTCGTTAACTCGTCTTTCCTACGATTAACCGACTGCATTAACGATTGCGATTCTAATTGCAGGGACTTCAGGGAAGTGCAATTAGAAGCGCAATCGTTAATGCACTCGGTGAAGAAAAGCGGTCCAAGAGGAGATACGCTCGCGATTAAACAACCGTGGAGTTACGTGCGCGGTGCTTTGTTTGGCCTACTGTTGGACTGATTGCACTTGCATTGCTCGGTCATTGTTGCATTCGAGTGCACCCTTGACGTGATGTGCGGAAGAGAACCCAGAAGATTGGGTCCTCGAAGGCTGCCGGCAAATCCGCTTCTGCCCAAGAAGCTGTGGGCGCAGTTGTACAGCCTCGTCTGCAGAATCAGGACGTCGTCGAGGTCCTCCTCGCTGGAGCATAAATAATTAACCAAATTTATTATTGAATTTTCCCTGAACTCGGAGCAGGGATTTTTCAAGATGGCTTACCTTGCGTATGCAAGGAATTTTTGGAAGAGTCTATTAGGGACTGTCCGCGGTCGGTCGACGGTGTCCGCGTAAAGGTCCGTTTCTCTGTTATACAGATGTAAGAAGTCCGACAACTGCTTAGCAGTTATTGCAGCCCGATCTTTGTCGCCCAATTTGCTGCTAGGTAACTGCAAAGACCATGGACATTTATTCTTCGCCGCTCTCGAGTATTTAAAATTCCTCACGAGCGGAATTAATCAACCCTACCGACTTACGGTAAATAAAAAGGGGGTTCGCAAGTTACTGGACGATTGTTGGAGGAACTTCGTAACGAGCTCGCAGCAGGCTGGATCGGCATTCGGCTGCGATATCTTCCGCAATATATATCCTAAATATAAGCCAAATGCTTTCCTCGCTTCCCCTGGACTGGAATAAGAAATATCAATTCACGTTCTTCGTAGGTTTACGTTCGCCCGAGGCAGTCGTTTCCATCGCGTGGCATTTCCGCTTCTTATGCAAAATCGAGCGCCGCTCGTATTGTAATGACAGGGAGCAAAAAACAAATGTTTACGCGATATTCCCTCGAAAGAATTCGTTTCTATTAATAATAATAGGATGTTTCTTGACCGGTTGCACCCGATGCACCAACCTGAGCTTGTTTCCTTCTTGCATCATTTGCATTACTTGAACCTTATACTTGTGCGTATCTACATCCATATTTTCCTTACTGTCGCCGCGGTCCAGACTCTGTTTATGACCTTTCACTAGAGCTCTTTCGTACCTTTCGTACCTACGGGGAAAAAGTCCTGGAATTTAATTCTTTCGTCGATTCCATCTTCGCAATTGGAAGAGCATGTATCTCGAATTTTTTTTACTACATTTTTTGCCGAATTTCCCTTACCTTGACAATCTGTCCAGGGTTACTTCGGGTATGATAAACCCCGTCGTACGATTGGCAGCTGGAAACAGCTGTTCGTGCAGCATGAGATTGTGATTGGAATTGATCTGCTGCGGTACTCTTCCAGGACCCAAAGGATCCGAAGCGACAGGAATCCCTGTTACAGGGTCTGTCGAAAAAACAACCGCATCGTTACGGGCGATAGTCCTAGTGAGTTCACCTTCTTAAACAAATGCACCTTGGTACCGACCTAAATACTGAGAGTATATCTCCCAGGACCTAGGACTGGGAAATATGCGAACGAATCCTCCTCTGCGCTCAAACTGAGCTTTCGCCGAGGAAACTATTCTTTGTTGCTCCGAATTGAGCGTCGACTTTGTCATGTTACTTTTGCTCGCTGGCTTTTTCTTCTGGCTCAAAGTCTCCGCCGAATGAACTCTCCTATACTGAATCGCAAAGACGCTTAATATTTTCATTTTAAATTATAATAGTTCACTCACTGGTCATACAATTCATCCTCGTCGTTGAAACTTACACTGATCATTTTTTTAGCTGGATTAACAACGGTCCTGTTTTGGTGGGTGCTCTGAGGCCGCAGAATTGGGTCGATCGCGGGAATCCCCACGAGAGTGAGCAAATCCGTCATCAATGCCGACTTCAATCTGACATCCAACGGTGAATCACAACCCAATGAGGGAGTAAGATTGACTTCCAGTAGCCAAGGCTTCAAGGTATCGTCGATGAGAATATCGAAACCGAATAATTCTGAAAAGCAAGACCTGGATACTCGTCTCCTTCTTAATAACACCTGCGACTCACGTTTTACAAGTAGTTACCGAAACACGTATCCGGATGCTTAACAAATTGCTTAACGCCGCTAACAATGCCACCTGCGGTGGCGAGAATAGATTTAATAATAATATCTTCTATGCGTTGCATGAGCTGCTCCGTATCCTGACCAATCGACCTCAAGTGCCTCAACAATGCCGACAAGGTCCACTTGTGTCCAACGTCCTCCGCATCGGGATCTTCGCTCCTGGATTAGTAAGCAGTTAATTTTAACGTACCGTTCCAATTAAATATAAGAGGTAATTAATTTTACCAATGGTAATGATCTCACTTGACGTAGTCAACGTGGAACTTGTTGATGCTGTAGTTGCAGAGGTGCATACAGGGGTTCCAGATGTACTGGTTCCCTCCCTCGTACTTTACGGTGGCAAATCGTACCAGACCTTCCTCGTACAAGTATATAAGAAGCGGATCGTAATTAGTAACTGCAACGTAAAGGCGCAAGTCGCATTTGTGGCCATCGACCAGCAGAGGATTGTTTATGTACTGGGCAACGATCACCGACTCGTCGGTCAGGATTTTTTCCGGCTGTAACAGAAGAGGGAGAATTATTTTCTTTTGCTCCGGAAAACCTTCGTACATCGAGCTTACTTCGCGATCGGACGTTTCGCGTCCTTTGCAGAGACCGATAATCGAGCCGCGAGGAAGCTGTCGAGAGCTTTCGTTAACGTTTCTTCCGTTTCTTTTTCTTTACCGTAAACGCGTACCCGTCCATGCACACCGGCCGCGAACTTAATCAAATCATACCTAAAAAATGTAATGCTCACATTGTTAACAATGTAAATACCGCGGCCGCGGGAGCTTGCTTTTGGTTTGACTATCCACGGTCCGCGATACCTGAAATGTGCAGTCAGCAATTCTCTCGACTCGCCGGGCAGGAGGAACGTTTGCGGAATAAAGTCCAAATTTCGCACGCCCTTACTTCTCTGCATGGCTTCGATATTTTTGTACAGGCGGTCCTTGCGAGTTATCTCGTACGACCTGAAAGAAAGGGCAAAGTAGAGCCAATATCTTGGGAGGAAAAAGAGCTATCCACTTTCAGAGTAAAAATAGGAAAATTAGTATCATATTTTGATATGATAGAATTTAAATACGCCCTCCGTGCGACTGAATTTACCTTGGAAAATGATTCACTTTCTGGTGGGCATTTAGACTGCGGAGAACGTCGGGTTTGGGATGGTTTCCCATCCAGAGGAGGTTGAAATCCGTTTCGTTCATTGGGACCTGCGACAACGAAAAGAGACCGTGGGTTTTTGTTGAGTACAATTTTGGCACGATGGGAAAATCGAGAGTGATAATTACGAGTTACACGCTTTAACGTTCTCGCTGCATTAGCACCGTGTCTTCGGAGACCTTGTCGATGCTTTTTAAAGGAAGCAGAATATTTACGGACAAAGACCACCAATGGAGCGCAATCGTTCGCACCTCGGGACTGCCATCTCATCATCGCGAGGGTCAGACACGGTGGATTTTTTGTTTTGGCTAACCGTTCGAAGAAAAAGGAGAAAAGAAATATATTCCGTAGCTGACAAGCTGCCACGCATCGTGCGGGACGTTACGATGCCAATTGTCACACCCCACGGCCATTGTTCATCTCGAGGTCCTTCTCCGCGAGTGCGCGAGTAATTGCATCCTTGCTCCTCAAGGATTAAAAAATGCAGGAAGCAAAGGAAAGCAGTCCAGCCGAAAGAATTCTTTAATTTCTCCAATTTTTCCGCGGCATTCGATCATTTTATCAACCGCGATCGTCAAGGCTTTCCTCGAAACTTCGACGACGTATTCTTAAGGTACTTCAAGGTGCATGCGTACAATGCGTACTTCCTGGCTCGCCCACGCATAAGGTCTCACGTCCGAAAGTCACTTCCGTCCATCGTGAACAATCGTTCCGATCGATTGGTAGCCAGTGATCAAGGATTCAGAAATTGATAGCCGTGAGAAATAAAAATCGTGCTAATTAAGGAGGAAGGGAAATGGCGCCGAAGAGAAGATATAGGTATTCGGTTCGACAATGGGTGCGGTGTATAAATGATTTGTATCCTCCTTGCTCGGGTATCTCAGCTCGAGGACTTTTATCGAGCGAAGCACGATCGCTTATGGTAATGACAGTCCTCGTTGGGATGCTAGGATATATCGATGCAGTTAATAAAATCGGTACGCAGGAGGAAAGGAAACGTCATCGACTTAGTAATCTCCGCGCATTTCAATTTATCCATCCAGCGTCTGGAATCGTAATCTCCTCTTACGGGCGAGATGTTTCCAGAATACTTTTTCATCTCGATCGCGAAGAATCGTGCGTGGTTCAACTTGAAATACTTAGGCACAGGGGGTGTTTACGTTGCATATTTTTATGCGACATGCTCCGTCGACGATGCACCGGATACTTCTGCTCAACCTTTATCCATCATAATCGGGTATACGACGATTATGCGACATTCATGCGAGGCTGGGACGTTTTTATTCGTGCGCAGACCGATCATTTTCTTTCTTTTGCAATCACGAGTCAATGTCGTTCACTGACAATGACAGGGCCTTCGCAACTTTGATGGAATTTCAAATCACTGGACACGGTTTTCGAATTACGTGGATCGGGTCGATGGAATAAAAAACCAAGTTTTTATCGTTAGCCCAAGGGTCGCTGGCGAAGAAATGTCGCATTTAAATATTTTTTTCTTTTAATTAGAATTTCAGGTCAATTTTTAATAAGTGCCCCAGATGCATTTGCGCAGCAGTCACTCGGGAATACTCACGACCTGCGGCAATGCACAAATGCAACGCTCACGTGCAACTCTTTTGCGCACTTAGCGCCCTGCAGGGTATGAATCATGAAAATTGTAAATTTTTAATACGGCAATAAATAGCCGCAAAAGGAGCCACTGGGATTTTTTCCCGACCTTGATGGCCCTCTCCATTAATTACGAAGACCCTCGTCGCGAAGCACTTAATTATGTTAATTAATGGTTGAAACGTTTCGGATTTACGATACTACCAGCAAAGGTGTGTCGTTGAACCTGGACGTAGACAATTATATAATGTACAACGCAATCCAATTTCAGCCCGAGAGCGTGAATATTTGAAATAAAACGATAGGAAATATTTCTGGTTAGACACAGCTTTTGCATCTTGTTAACCCGAAGATTCGAGATCGTAATCCAAGCAAGACGGACGGTCTCCACGTGCAAGATCTCGCGATCGTTAACAAAGTAGATCGTATCAATTGACACCAATGATAATCTATCCTATTAGGATTTTATCGACTCGTTTAGAAGCTCCTTAACAAATAATCTACGCGAAATCTAAAGGACCGACTCGAACGTCGTGTTATCGGTTTTTCTCAAGCTCCGTATATTTAAACAAAATCCGAAAGATTAGAATCTTATTTTTCATCTCTGGAGAATCTGTTTAATGCGAGGTTGCGTAAAGGTCGATAAATTACAATTATGAGCGTGGAGAAATCTAGAAATTTCGTAAAAGGGCGAAGAAAACTGCCATTCGAAAGTCCCTCGCGACTAGTTGGAGACTTTTATATAAACCTCCGGCCCAACGGATGGACCTTAATCTTTGCCTTACGAAGGATTTCCGATTTCTTGCCACACTGGTCAGAAAGAAAGGGACCAGCTGCTCCGAACAGCAGTTTCCCGCCTACGTGACCGTGAACACGAGGATATCGTTGACGTTTCATTTATCGAAGAGGTCGTTTCATTAATTCCGATAGAATCGATCGCTCGCCATTCACCTCGATAAATCGGCCCTGCACTTCCGATTAATTTCCCTCGCAAATCTATTTCATTTTATAGAACGCGGGGAAGTAGGAGGGCGGTTTGAGTTCCTGCGATCGTTTCTGTCGGCTCTAAGTACGATGGGCCCTTTAATTATTTCTCTCTTTAATTTCAGGAGTACCAAGGAATGGCTTCAATGATCATTCGAGACCTTAAGGAAGCGTCGCGTCTTTCACGGGCACGAGACCGCAACCGAGAAGAGGAAATCTAGGTTAAGGATGCGAATCTCGTTACCGCAAATCGCAGCAGCCCTTTGCAAGTGCATCGGCATTGCGGCAGTGCATCAAAGGATGCTGCATGGAAGGGAAATGTATTGTCACGTGGAAAGTGGAGTAGAAATACGAGCCGTAGGTTCGATATCATTTTCGTGCCATTTCATAAAATCTAGATTATAATTATAGGAAGAGGGGAGCTTATTAAAGGCGAAGCGAGAATAAAAGGAAGCGCTGAAAGCAAAAGAAAAATAGACGGTCTCGTTAAATCTATCTTCGTTCCGATGAATCAGGATAACGAGTATCGAAGAGCTCACCTGCCCAGTTATTGTAATTGCAATCACGGGTATCAAGGATATATCACGGGATAGTAAAATTAAAGAGCACGTACTGATCAATTATTGCTAGTTCTTCCAGCTACGATTACCGAGATAATCGAGATGGAATTAATCTTTTCCTTTAACACTCGCTGTCTAGCGGGAAGAAATTTCTTAAACATGAGTGACTAGCATTTAAAAATTAATTAGTTTTATTATTAATTTCCGAGAGGAATCCCGCCCCAATGACTCGGTATGCAAGTTTGCAACATTTGACGCGCATTCCAGTCTTGAATACGAGAAGAGAAAATCCAGGTCAAGAGCGTTAATTATATCTGCAAATTACAGTCGGCCCTTCGTGACGTTTATTTGTACGTCAATGGTGAATCACGGAGGTGGAGAAAAGAAAAATCCGGAACGCTGTAAATTACCCGCCTCAATCTCTGACGATAACCTGCCCTAATAACGACACGGATTGTCGTACTTAGACAAGGACTAGACTTCGTCCAGGAAACGTTATCCTCGGACGTCACTGTAGGGAAGAAAACTCAATTGCGATGCCGCGAGCAATAGTAATAAAATTAAAGGCATCTCGTTAAAGGAACTTGCATTTTAAAACCACTATTACTCTAAACTGAATCCTCGCCACGGCATCGGAGAAAAAGATTACGTTTCGATAAAAAAAAAGTCATTGGCGCTTTGACGTAATTCCCTCATATGGAGAAAACTTACGCGGGAAGATCGCTCTGAAACAGCGTTTAAGTGACTATAAGAGGAAAACGGAGAGCAACTGAAAATTCTTCGAAAAACCGAGGATCGTTCCGGCCGGAGCGCAACGCCTTAGAGCGAGGAATGCGCAATGAAATCGGCCGAGCGCACCTCGGGGAATAATAAATAAATAAATAGCGCGATGTCGCCGCAAAGAGAAGGACTGTCGGTTACGAGCAACGCGGAAACTATCCTTACGAGCGAGAATAGGTGCGCGTGGCCATGGTACACATAGCTGGCTGACCAGTTCGGGATCCGTTGGCTTTTTAGTCACGGACCTTAATGGCCGTCGGTGACCCTCGGGTCCCCCCTCCGAGGTTTACTCTTGGCCACGAATGGCCATCGCGGTCTTGCATAAAATTATTCGTCGTCGACGTAAGAGTCGGTGCGATACCGATCTCGCGTTCGAAAATGAATAATGGAAGAAATTGGGTCCGAGGAAAAAATAAAATACGTCTCCCGGGTCCATTTCGCCATTCCTCTAAAGTGGAGAAAGCGCGACCGGATGGAACTCCCGCCGACTTTCCGACGCACGGGAGCATCTCGGGAAAAAATGCTTCCTTTCAAAGTTCTCCGTCATCGTCTGAAGTGCAACTTTTGTTGGAGACGTTTTTTCGTCCAAGCAACGGTCGAGTCGGAAAGTGCCCGCGAGGGGGGAAAATCGCCCTTCGTCGGCACGGAAGTGCCGACAAAGGTCCTTGCGGGGATCGCGCAAGTGGTACAGCGGGTGACGTACATCGCGACCCGCGAACGAGCCTAATGCTCGTGAAATTGCGATAGTAAACCCGTCACCGGGGTCTCCCTCGCGGAGTTGCGTCCATTAAGACGGTAATTAACCGCGACGATTCGCGAGGTGTGAAGTCGCCTCGTCCTACCCGGCGCTTGTGCAACAGTGGAGATATCCGTAACAACGCAAAAGGCAAAATACGGATACGCAAATGAACGGCCTTTAAGAATCTAAATGGTTGAATAACTTTTCATGCCCCGGGTAACGACGTCGCCCTCGGGGATATCCGCGGATACAAAATACGAGCCTCTCAAATCCCGCGTCGATTAAGCGTTATCGATCTCGCGTTATTAAGGTGATACGAAAGATTCATTCTGATGTGTCTTTGATTCTAGTCAGGGATAAATATATATATATTTTTTTAATTAAATTTCACGAGCATCGCGTTCTTCCTTAGGTCTCCATAATCACGTGCTGAGGTTTCAAATGATTCGGTGCGCCCAGTTTGGAGAAAAGTTTTATAGATACTTTGACGTTTTAGATGTCACGCAGAATCACCCTTTCATATCACCTCAAAGTCACGAGATTTATCCTCGGGTGACGACTCGTCTAGGAATCCCCTCCGTTCGTATCTCGGACAGAATCGTTGACATTCGGTGACACCATCGGCCTGTAGCTCCGAGTGACGTCGGGCGTTCTTTGCGGCCAACGGGCGCGATCTAAAATTCTATTAGACCAATTAGAGGAAGCGCGGAGACTCGCGAAGCCGAGCGGAATAAGAGAGAATCGGCGCCCGACGTACGCGAGGTACATATTTCATTACCCATCAAGGATAACACGAGTGACTCTCGGAGAAGGCGACGGGGACGCGGAAGGGTTCGGGACTCTAAACCGCGATCTCCGCAGGGTTTGGGACGCAAACACGCCATTCCTCGAACCCATCCTTTTTCCTCTTCTCTCTCTCCGCGACTCCGTCCCCGATCCGTGAAATATCCCTCGTCATTGGAAAAAGAGAAGAAAAAAATCGAGTCACTTTCCGATGGACTCGTATTTGCAAACCTGCCTAGAAAACTAGGGAGGTATTGTACGTCGTAATATACGTAGAAAAGCACGTATATGTGCCCATAATTATGAAAGTGGTCTAAGTCATATATTTTTTGTTTCGAAATTACATTGAATTAATTTCGTTTGAAATAATATGGCGTGAAATAACTGATACTTATTTTTTTTTTAATTTTGACTTAGACCACTTTCATCATTATGGGCACATATACCATTACGTGACGTATCCAACCCTGGCGGGGAGTTTTGGGGGACGAAAATCACGGCCGGCACGTAGACTCGCGTCAACGTGGGAAGCTCGCCGCCGCCAGCGCCGTGGTGGGCACGAGCCGAGGTCGCGGGCCAAACGGCGCGAGAGACGTTTACGATTTCGATGCGGCGCGGCAGTCTAGCACGAGCAGTTGCTCAGGAGACACCCGTAGGGGACTTGCTTGTTTCAAGGTAGGCCGCCTCGGCGCGCGCAATCTAACCACGCCGCGCGCTAATCCACTCGACGATCATCGCACCCTTGCTTTCTAGTTTTCATTTCGTAACGTCCGAAGATCCGTGTCGAGGCAATGATACGACCGGTAAAGAACCGACGAAGAGACTTCTCGCCTTGAAAGATCCATGCACCATCGATCGCGCACTAAATGGGTATTGGAAACGGTTTTCGGACGACTCTTGCGCTTCGTTTTCGGGCCAAAATGGCGGAATGGGCTGAGGGGTTCGCGCCTAGGCGGGCTAAATTTGTAGTACCTCGACGAGGGGTTTATGTAACGAGTCGTGCTTGCACTTGCATCTGCAAGACAAAATTGGAAAATGTCGGTGGGTTTAGGGACGTACTCGCGACTCGTTTCAGAGGGGTTTCGACCGTAACGGTATAGGGATGACGAGCCATCCCCATTGTTGGAATCCTCGCTGGAAGTTCACTTCTTGGAAAGCCTCGGTGGTTGTAAAGAGCTTCTACGCTTCGCTATGGTCTTATTAAGGGGTTTAGTTTCGTTTGCATTCAAAATTCGCGCCTCTTGCGATATACCTCTCTTCGCGGTTGGAATGTTTTTAAAAAGCGTCGAAGCGAAAAAAGGCCGCGTTGTTGACTTAAAGTTTTTCCCTCGCAAACCCTTTAGTATGGTCAGGTTTTTGGGGGTAAACGCGTCGGAAGGCGAAAAAATGCGGCGCGACGAGTCGTTCGGTTTCATTACTTCCTGGTCACTTTTTTCACGCCGGGTTATTCGGATTCACATGGGTAAGGTCTAAAATCGAAAGTGCCGGTCGAGCGTTACAAGGTTAACGGTTCTCCTAGTGTTCCTCGGTTTTTTAATCGGCTGTAAACCCGCCGATTATCTGTGAGCAAACGCGCGCGTATTTAATTTCTGATTTATACGTTTTGAGGGACATTACGAAGCTACGAAGAGAAAAGAAACGATTTAAATTCAGCGCGACTGCAATTGGCAATATGGCTGTCTATTCCAAGGTCACCAATTTTCCCGCAGTCTCGATCCTCGCCGCCATCTTGGAGAACTTTTGGCGCGCTGGATTTAAACCACGTTACGTAAAGGACCGTTGAAACGTACGGTTATATCTTCCGAATAAACATTTCAAATCGTATCGATAAAAAATGTATTTATGTTTCATTTTTTCCGCATTTGTTTCCACGAGCTTTCCTCTTGCGAAGCTTTACATTACGCATCTTCGATATCAACAGCTATCGCAACCGAGTGGCGCAACTGGTTGTTTTCCCAATCCGTGATATAAATCTTTTGTTCGATTTTTCAAATCCGTCGGCGCGGTTGTCAACAAAATTGGATCGTCTGGGAAAAGTCTGTAGGATTTTTGAAATCTAGCATGAGCCTCCTAGAGTTCTTGCGGAGATAGTGAAAATCTATTGCCGCCGAGAGTCGTTTAAAAAAGGAAGGCTCCTCGGCTCGAAATCGCCTGTCAGCCCAGCGCGTAACTTGTCAAGTTATTAAGTGAAACTTTATGCAGATACCTTCCTGGGCTTTTGCGCCGTGAGTATTTAGACGGGAAAGTTGTTTGCACACGTGACTCAATTATCATAGAGGTGTAGATGCGTTTGAAGTACACAGTCCGTGTCCCGTACGCGAAGGGGTGTTAGGTTATGTTGGTTTTACGAGGCAGACACCGCATAGGAAATCCTAGGCTTTAACCTTTATTTAATTACTCCACGCCGTTTTGCCGGCCGGAGTGTTGTCGTTACGAGACGAGTTTCGCAACGGCGGTTAGGGGTTAGCAGGATGAATTCTGAATGGAAAATTATGGCGACGCTCTCGATTGGAAAGGTCCAACGTGAATACTTTATTAATTACCAGGTTGGGCAACTTAACCCATGGAATGTTTTACTTGTTTATAAGGTAGCTGGAAAGTGGGACGTACCACTTACGTTGCCTAGATTAACCGTCATTAAATAGAATGATTAATGGAGATGTTATCTCGATCGATAGAAATGCGGTTCACCTAGGGTTGCGAATCGTAATAAATCGGTGACCAAATTATTGGCTCCACGTAAAGGTGCACGATGTTTTTATTAAACGGTACTTAAAAATGAGTTGCTTTATGAATTACAGTGAATGAACAAGAGAAGATGCCTGGCCACCGTCAGCCTAACTCCTTGGAGGAGCTTAGTTTGGGACGTGTGTGCCAACAACTCGACGGGATGTGCCGACGCCTGCAACTGCTTTCTCAAGAATCATCGGCAGCTCAAGTCCTAGCATTTGCAAAACAACACATCAGGCCATATTATGTTAATTCTCTACCGGCTCGGTTACGCTGTCAAGTCATCGAAGAAACGTCAAAGATGCTTTATGGACCATCTACGGATGGATCTACTCTGATCTCAGGCCCGGCTCCGTTATATCTGCTAGCGCTACTTCTCGGCCACGACATAAAACAGTTAAGAGTGAACTTGTGTTGCTACTATGGATGTAGTCATCAGACGTCGCTTTTAAAACTTTTGGCTACGGAAGGCGTGGGTTTGGAATCTTTGGAGCTAGCTCGATCCGCTTTACTAAGATTGGACTGTAAACTGTTACGATCGGCACTGATGAGTACGAAAAATTTAGTAAGTCTAACGCTCCGTAACATAGCCAGTGACGCCGTTCTACAAGTGGTGGGAAGGGCTTGTCCGAAGCTGGTCGTTTTGGATGTAGCGTGTTCACGCCAAGTAACGGATGTGGGATTAAAACAACTCTTACTCCAGGTAGAACTCAGAGACAAAGCACCCCACGTGGTAATGCAAGAGCCTACGAGTTGGTCGAGACTGAAAAGGTTAATTTCAAAGATTAAAGTTTTGAATTCAAAGACTAAAAAGAAAGACAAGCAAATGGGAGTATTTCTCGAATATTACGAGAGCCGAAACTTCCTTTGCGACACGCTCAAAGTACTTAATATAGCAAATACAAGTGTAACTAGCATCGGAGTACTGCTAGCTTTATCGCATGTCCCCAAGCTAGAATCTCTGGCGGAATACAATCACATGGGAAGAGTCGTAGAAATTATGAACAGAGGAGTCGTCGACTTAAAGACTCCTTTCAGCTTGACTCAGGCAAGAAGCTGCAGAACCACTACGGCTCGACTACAACTCTTGGCTCAAGCATGTCCACGAATAGAGAAACTGCACATCTCGGAGCCGCTGCATCCACCGGAAGCTCTCAGATTATTTCCTTACGTCACTTCTCTAAGTGTGAACGCGATTCCACCTCAAAGGGAATGGTTCGATGGATTCTATGATTACCTTCGTACAAATGGCCAGAACTTGCAGGAGCTTAATTTGAAAGTGAAGCAAACCGAGAATCCCGTGCAAATGGACCTGAAGGAAATCTTTAGAAACTGTCCTAACCTCCGAACACTGACCAACGATGAAGCTAACATATTTTGGTCAGAGGGGCCTGACCCACCGCTGTTAAAACAACTGAAAAAAGTCCAGTTAGGGAAAATCGTCAATGCCACGACCATCATAAAAGTTCTCTCCCTTGCACCCGAGCTGACGGTTCTCCATGTGCATAGTTGCTTCGATCTGACGGACGTCCACTTGGAAAAATTGTTAGGATCAAAAAGTATTCATAAGGACAAGAGTGAAGTCGGTCTTGTACAAAATTTAACGTGCTTCTACATATACGTGGCCAGCAAAGTATCTGCACCCACCGTGTTGAATATGTTCAAAGGCTGCAAAAAGCTCAGAAGGATCGGTAATCTCGCCAACTGGGGCTTGGACTGTGACGGAGTGCGAACGTTAAGGACTACCCTGGCACAAGCCAACCTTGACGTGGACTTGTGTCCCGGGTCTCACTGGTTTTGGAGCAATTGTATCCAATGACGTATCCGCGATGCTGCGGCTCGATCACGATTGGCTTTTCGTAAATTTATCAGTATTAAAAAAAGCGTTTACTAGTAACGTCCGTTAAGTTACGTAAGTTGAATGTCTGTGACTCAATGATAAGGAGAATATAAAAATAGGATTACGTGTTTGTTACGCTTAGCCGTATATTGTAAAGCGAAACGTTTTTCACATACGAGGGTAATTTCGAGTGCTCGAGATAGAGGAGTAAGGATCGATTGCAGAGAGTACCGTAAACGGATCTCATTAACGGTACTTGGATACAATTTTTAACCGATCACCCTGCTGCCGAAATTATGATATCGTTACTTAATCCGTGGATTGGATAAACCGTGTCTTTTAATTTCCGTCGTTAAGTGTAATTTATCCTTAACTTTTTTTTGTGTTCAAATTAGGCTAAAAAAAAAGTGAAGCTCGGATCGCATAGAAATGCAGATGTATCATTAATGTCAAACACACAAGGCGAGCTATAAATGAAACCAGGAAATCGACTGTCGAGCAGAAACAATAAACCGACAATTACCCTTCTACATAAATCTGACTCCACGGTAAATGGATTCGATAAAAGATAGTCGAACGGAAAATCTATTAGCGTCTTGGAGATTCCTTTGACCGTTGCAGCGTGCTTAATGTTTATAAATAATCCGACCAGATGGATGGTGAACTTCCAGTTGCCGCATCCTATTACGCGAGTAAATTGTCATTCACTGTTACGAGACCTAACGCTTCCAAGACTGTTCATCACTTTGCTCAAACAGGGAAAAACCCATGTTTCTTTTTTTTCCTAATAAAAACCCGTCACGACGAACGGCGTATAAAAATGATGTGTACTACGACAAGTGTTTAAGCGTCAATTCAACCCGACCTAACCATCCCGCAAGGAGTAATTAATTCTTTTACGCCCGCAACGATGCATAATTCCGAATCCAGGAATTAATTTTGCCGTCGTTATTACCTCGCTAAATCAGGCCGATTATTTTCTTATCTTTCACACGAATAGATTCGCATAAAAAATGTCGCATTATTGCGGAGTCGCGTCATTGGTCAACATTTGACAGTCGTATACGAAACTGTCAATATCGCGGGCGAATGATGTCGATCGGATGACCCCGATAATCGGGTCCTAGGTTTACTCACTTCGGCGAATCCGTGGGACTGGAGGAGCAGATTGATAAGCTTGGTGTCGGTTTGAAAGATCTTGTACGTCATGTGCAACTGTTTGGCCGGGGGTTGTTCCGGAGGGGTGGCGAGCGCCGAGCACCTGAAAGAAAGATACCAAAGCGCAATAAAGCCATCGATCTTCGGGTGTTATTTCGGAAGTGCTAGCAAGGAAAATCATCGAAGCCAAATTCGACACGAAAGCTGGAATATAAACCGGACAGTTGGCGTCGAAGTTATAGACTACTCGTACTCACTTGAAACGCAAGACCGACGTTTTGCTGCCACTTGGTCCATTTAACAGCCACTCGTTCTTCGGCGGACTTTTATCTTTCGTTGCGCTGCAAAAGAGGAGCGCACGTCACGGTCGGGGGTATTTACGGTGGCGCAAAGGTAAATATAGAAGTGCCGGTACGATGATCGATTCTACCGGTAATGGTTAAACGGAGGAGAGCGGCGAGAGTTCGTCGGCCCGCGGGGAACGGTCCCCGATATAACTTTTCGAGCTCGCTTTGCGAGCAAAAAGAAATATCCGGTACCGGCAGGCACGACGGTAGGCATCGCCTCCAATTACCTGTCTGTTTTTTTCGAAGCGTGGGGCTTGTGTACGAACGGCTCCAACGTCTCCTCGCTACTGTTGGACAACTGGGACATGCCGGAAAGGCTGGAAGACGACATCAGTTCCTTTGGCCGTTTGCCTTCTAATTTCCCCATGGTGTCGCTCTTCCTCTGGGTTAACATAGTGCACCTGCGACAAGGAAAGAAATTCCACGTGATGCCTCCAATTACCAAACATAGGATATTATGTACGAAGCAGAAAGATCAAGGTGATCCTAAACCCTTCCGCTCTGTCCGCAGATCGAGTTCCCCCAGCTGCGATCCAGGGTATCGATATCCGGAGCGAGTTCAAGGCCACCTCCAATCGAGCTCGACGACTCCGGATCTCTCGCGAGGGTTTCGCTCTTGTCAACGGAGACGTCGCAGTTCGGCATGTCACGCGTCTTGAGAGAAAATTATCCGTAGCCCTTCCGAAGACCCGGTGCCTACCCTGGCGCGCAAATCCGCAATTTGGCCTCGCCGAGTCGAAGATGCCATGAGAGGACCGGGAAGCGACCGTCGACCCGACCAGGGAGCATGGGCCCTCGAGGTAACGAAAAGCCCGAGCAAGGTGCCAGACGGAGTCCCAGGATCAGGGTCCGGGGATCGAAATCGAGCCCGAAAGGGTCAAGGGCGAGTCCCGGGATTGCGGCAAAACGCGCCAAGCTGGACCTCGAGGTCCGCGACCACGACGACGCGAACTTCTCCGGTTCAAATCGGTCGACCCGTCGATCTCGGTTCCACATCACGAGTCTGCCCACCGAGATCCTCGTCGAGATCCTCTCCTACCTGTCCCTCGGGGACCTCTACGCCCTGCGCCAAGTCTCGACCTTCTTCGAGCGCCTCGTTAGCGATCCCGCCGTTTGGAGAGCCTACGAGGTAACGCGACGAGCCTCTTCGCCTTTGGAAATCCACTTATTCCATCGGGTTATTTTTACCCGGGCATCCTGGCGGACCGAAGACTCCCCGGAAATGCCTTCCAGAGGAGTTCCTACGGATCTACGGAAGACTATCCCTTGCAGGTCGTCGACAACGAGATGAACACCTCGGACGTCATCGACGAGCTGAAGAGGATGCCGTTCCTGAGGAAGTTCAGCATCGCCGCAAGGTCCGACAGCGACGACATCCTCAGGCAGCTCTCCCTGACGAACAGGAACCTCGAGGAGCTCCACGTATCCAACTGCACCGGTACATGCCCAACGAGGCTAGAAATCCGAAGTCGATCGTTCCGCCCCACTTCCGCCGTTCCGTTAGGTTACGTTATTTATTTCCGGGTCCTCGAGGCCAGAGATTTTCTACGATAAATCGATAACCGCGATTACCGATCCTAAAGTTGGGACTCCTTAGACCAGCCTATGCCAGGTTTTAGGTGCACCAAGTATCGGCTGCGACCCCCTGTAATGTACCATGCAGGCTCAACGTCCAAGCTGTACCTGCGCTCGCTGTACCTGATTCGGATCCTGGAGCGGTGCGGACGTCTTCACACCGTCAACATCCTGGGGACGCGGTTTCGCGGCGTCAAGTTCTACCGACTGCTGGCCGACATGGGTCTGAGGCTGAGGGCGGCCACGGCACCTGCCACGGGGACGCAGTTCCTCACCTTCGCCAGCCACGCCAGGCACATCCGGGACCAGGATCGACGGCTGATGAGGTCGATGTGCACGGGACCGAGGAACTGGGCGCTTCTCCACTACTCCCTCCTCGACCGGAGGCGCATGGCCTTCGTCAGCTACTTCTACAACGAGTTCGTCGAGGTCGACTCCAAGTTCCCCGTCTGATCCGTCCCGTTGGTCTCCTTTCCGTCCTGTTAGATCGTTTCGTGGCGTTCTTATCAATAGAAATCGTGGGCGTAAACCGATACCGAGGAAGTGTACGAGTTCAATTGAATTTTTTCTCCCTTCAATTTCGAAGTGCCAGCCTCGGACCGAACCTCGCGTTTAAATGCCACACCCTTCGGGTGAGAAATTCGCCCTACGGTGGGTACTCGAAATAATTACCCTGGTGCGTGATCCACCCGGTTAAAGTCTTCCTTGCTTCGCGTCGAGGTAAAAGGAAGAGAGAGAAAAAAAATAACATACTTGCGGGAGAGCTTAAATTACCGGCACTTACGCTCCGTAGCTTTCCCATGTTTCGCATCGTCCTAAATCTCGACCGCGGGGGTGAGGCACTTGCCACCCTTTTCCTATGTTCCTTTCGACCGGAGCTTTCGAAATCCGGGGGTAAAAATGCGCTTTCTTTCTATTCTCAACCGCGGCGAGTACTCTTCACTCGGTGAGGAGGTCTCGCGTTAAGTCACGGCACGGTACCGAGGAGATGTAAATGAAAATCCCGCCCGTGTCCGAGCCAATCCGTTAACGTCGATCCTGCAGGAAATGAGATCTACCCGGCTGACAAGGTGCCACGAATTTCGTGCTTTATATTCTTAGTCTACTACCTCCTACCATCCGCCCCGTAATCTCACGAACGAGGAAGCACTCCTTTGCCGATCGAGAGCGATAAAAAGGCGGCGGGGAACGATCCGATCGGCGCGGAAGTAGGGCTCGCGTGATTCCGTTGCGGTAATGCCGCACGGCGAAAAGAAAAGCGAGATCGACCTAAAAATTCATGAGAAATAGAAGACTCTCCCGAGAAAATTCCAAGTTTCGATTCGCCTTCCAATGTATCCGTGTATATGTTACCGTGAATGACCGAAATTGGAGAATGTCGACTTTCACCGGTGAATGTCAACATTTACCGGTGTAAGTCAGAAATAAGGGTATTTAGCAAATATTTCGGATACACACTAAGCGACTATGTGAATGTTGACATTCACCGGTGAAAGTCGACATTCTTCAGATTTCGGTGTTTCACTGTAACATATACATTTTTTAACAGCTGATAGAGGAGTCTTTAAAGCTAGTTATTGCTAGGCGACGCTTTCTTTATTTTCACGTTTCTCCGGGATAGGAGACAGTGATGTAACGACACGTGCCCGGGGCTAGGACTGCATGCGACTTATTATTACGAAAACGGTTACATGTAAACGGCCGAGGATTGCGTAAAACGTGCACGCGTGCACGCAGCCTTTTGCGAGGTGCGACTCGGGGGAAAATTGGGTTTGGTCGCTGCCGTTAATGGCAAAAGGGACCCCAATTCTGCTCCTGGCCAAAGAGGACGACGGCTTCGTTAAAGCCTTGGCCCTGTCTTTTATAGCAGGCCTGGGGAACGTTGTCGCATTCTTCGGCATTCTTCGGCATTCTTCCCGGCCGATGGATCGTAAGGCGCCATTGTTCCCGAGAAAGAATGGCCCTCGAAGGATGACAAAAGGAATCGCGCGATGAGCGGTGGAAATGGATTTCCCAACGAGGACGGGATTTTCTTTTTTTTCCCCAAGTACACTTGCGATCGATGTCGGCACGTTTGTTTTAGACAGGGTTAAAACATTGATTCGAGCCGATATAGCTCGCCGGATGGGAAGTCGATCGGTCAGGATTTAATTCACGACAGGAGGAAACCTCGATTGGACTTTCCGGCAGGCGAATACAGGCGTTACGTCCTAGCAACAATCGCCGGAACTTTAAAGGGGTCCTTACTTCCGGGTTTGATTTCGAATGCAGCCGGAGTTACGGGCGGATAAAAAAGGCGGCAATTACAATGGCCCCCAAGTGGGTCGGTGCCGTGCAACGAGTACTTCCAGTACTTCCACCGGAGCGGAGGGAGCATGATCGCGTTCACGGACCAGACGACGTTAATGGCACCCGAATGTAATACCTCTGATCTCGGCGAATAGGAGAGGAGATAAAAAGATAACAAAAGAGCGCCTTTGTTTCAAGTCGCAAGATTGCTCGCCTTTCAGGGCTGAATGCGCAAAACCGGAAGAGCGGTTTCGGCCCTCGGGAACTATTCAACGGGGAAATCGGGAGCGATTACTCGAGGACTCGTTTAAATTGCGCGATATATAATAAACGTTGCATAATCAAGACTTTTAAGCGGATCGCAAGAAAGTGGCCGCGCTGGCTACTCCACCTCGACTTCCCTGGTTTCGTGTTTTCTAGGCGGGGCATAATTTCCGAAACGTTCAGCGGGACGTTAAATCTCGAAACGGGAATTTCTCGGGAAGTAACGAGGCATGCGGGGATATTTATACCCACTGAATAAAACCTGCTTACTAAATATGTACCTAAGTGAGGCTCTCCGCCAAGGAGTACGACTCGCACGGCATTGCCTTTTAAGGCCATTATGCGCGCATTTACATAGGCGCGAGACTTAAGCGTAGGAAACCGAGGGATCGATGTTCCTAACATCGGCCGGGTCGTAAAAAGCATTGCGCGGGGCATTACGATACAATTTTTTCTCTTCTACCTCGGAGGGTCCCGCCTCGCATATAGCGACGATTTCCACCGGCGATAATACATCCTCCGGAGCCATTTCGCGTTCTTTTTTCCCCTCCTTCCTTTCCTCGCGGTTGAATAATTCCCCCCCAGTGGGTGGGATCAATCGGCATTTGCATGGAAAAGATTTCTATATTTTTTTTTCTATTTTTTTTTTCTTGTACGGCTGGGAGGAAAACTCGACCCGACGACGCCACGAAGTACTGCAACCAGCGAGTGCAAGGTTGTCGAAACGATGCGATCCGAATGTAAGGGTAAAAATTGGGAAAGAGATACTGATTATGGACGGGTGGCCGGGATCGATTTCTGGAAAAGGAAGGAAGGTTCGCGGGGGGCCTCGCCCAGAAAGAGATGCTCGCGAACCCGCGAGTCTATCGGTTATCTATGCAAATTAGCGGCTCCCGATCGCGTGGCACGACATGCGGCGATATAGACGTCTTCGCCATTCACGAGAGGCCGACAACAGGTATTTCCGATCCGCCGCCTCCTCTCGTGAATATAAAGTATTCTAATCGGTGGGCGCCATTTACGGACCTTATGGGGTGGTTCCGGAACGGCTGAACGGTACTTTCGGCGGTTCCTCGGCATACGCCAGGGATTTCGGCTCTTTGATCTCGCCGAGCGTTAAAAGACCCTTGTCTATCCGGGGAAAAAAAAAAGAAAAATAGAACGGCTCCGTAAATCACAAAATGAACGCGACGGCCTGATTAGCTGCAAACGCGTTTTCCCCGTCTTTGGATAAAAACGTCCTCGGTTTCCGCGGTGTGACCCAAAAACAAGGGCGATTCCGCGAACTCTACGCTGGCTAGAGCCACCGGCTTAACGAGCGCTCGTAATCCCAGGTTAAACGCGGAAAAATCGTCCACTTTCTATTTCCGGGAAAGGAGGAAGAAGCTCCGCTAGCGTTGCACCAGTTTCGCGGCGTTCCGGGGGCTTGGACATCGGGGATGCGCGACTTTCATCAGCGGCCTCCAGGGCGCGACGTGGCTTCGACGCGACCCTCTTTAACGCTAGGTTTACGGGACCCGTCAATTTGACGGAGTTCAAACTTCGAAAAGAAATACCGAAAAAACCATAGCATCAATTTTAACCATTTCTGTATCGTAAATTAATCATTTCATCCGAAGAATTTGTACACGCAATTATTTTTTCCCTAAGCCTTCTAATTATTAAAATCTGTATGTGGTATACCTATCTCTACGAAGCCCGTCAAATTGACGGACTAGCTAATTTCATAAACAATCCATATATATTTGCTTCGTTGCAGGGAGTGTAAGGCGAAGATGAGAGTGAAAGTTTGCATCGAAAGTGGAGAAATAGAACGATCTTCGGATAGTGAAGAGGAAAACTTCTTAAAAATGTGTCGTAACAAGAAAAGCATTTTCTTTCTAGTTCCGACTCCGAGGATGAGAGGACGAGCATTCCAATCATTTCCGTGATAATTTTTAAAAAAGGACTTTTTACTTATTAATCATTTATTTAAACGTAAAGCCTAGTGTCGTTTAATACAGGCTTAATTTGAATAAATCGATTTTTTAAAGAAAATCCGTGTTTTCGTTTACCCGTCAATTTGACGGGTGCTCGTAGAAACAGGTATATAAAAAACGCCCGTAAACCTAGTGTTAATGAAAATAATCCCGCGGAAAGTGAACGCACCTGCCGAGAAGTAAAACAAGACTAGCGAAAACGACGATTGAACATAAGATATTAAAATGAAAATTGAATCAATGGGACGTTGCTTCGGCGCGTTACGGGACCGCGTAGATTCTTCAAGGGTTCGGAGAAGGCTCCTTGAAACTAAGAAATGCGTTCGGTAGATCGGCTAATGGGTTTATTATTATTAATCGCGAAGGTTGATCGACCCGCAGCGAGTGCGTTCGGAATAGAAGCGATCGATTTCAGATTCGACGCGTCAGGAAACGCGAGGGCATCGATCGGTCCCGAGGCGCCTCGTGCTCACGAGCGATATGCAAATTGCATTTACCGAATCGCCTTAAAGGTGCCCCGAGGACAGACCTCGTGATCGCGCTGTCGCATGTGCCCGATGCCATGTGCATAATTCCCCGATCAATGTCGAACGTCGGGGCGACGCCTGCACCCTTACTCGGACGCCTCGACGACGACCCCCCGAGGCGTTTATCGAGTCCCAATCGAGGAATCATATTTCGCACGCGATGTCTCTCAAACGCGAGGGCGAGTCTGCCGGGACTATTCCTCGGGTACAGGGTCAAGATACTCGGCGTGCGATCGTTACGTCTTCTTCGAGATGGAATCGTTCCTCCTGGTACCCGGGCATTCCGCGGGATAATTATGCAAATCCGAGTATGCACGCCGTTTACCAGGACCTTTCGGGGGTGGGGAAATTTTTAGCGAGCCCGATAGTTTGCTGAAATAAAATACGTCGTCTTCCAGGCCACGGAGTCATCGGCGAGAATAAAACCTGGGGGATGACTCGGTTATCCGGGAGGCGTAACGAGACTAAAAAAGAGAAAAAGGAGGGCCGAGAGTTACCGCATATTTCAGTAGCAAGGTGAAGGCTCGGCGTTAACGAGATCGGACCGTCCAAATCCCACTTACTCGTACCGAGGGATTAAATAATGGCACCTCCGGTAATCTGGCACGGGGTGGGCTGTTTCATACATCACTCCCGGAGTTGGAACTCGGGGCGACGAAACGCGATCTAAAAATACGGTGGACCGAGCGGAGCCGCGGGAAAATAAATTCCCCGGGTTGGTACACACGGGACGGACAAATAATTAGTGATAAACAATTTCCTGGCAGCGAGGAGAGGGCCCGGAAGAAATATGTACCGCGTCCAATCCGCGATCCGCGAAATCGACGGGCGAGATTCGGTACCGATGGCTACTTAAGGTGAAGTGAAACATCCTTCAAATCAGTCGATTCGAGTACAACACTTTTTTGTTAAGGGTATTAGACCAAACCGTCCGAAACTTTGACACGTCACTCCTGATCATCTAAGAATTGTCCTGACACATTGAAAATTTGGATTTTTCAAAAACATTTTTTAACTCAGTCCAGACCAGAACCAAAATGGCGTCGAGCTCTCATATTTCGATCAATATACAATTATCGAAGGCTCCGATATGAGAATCGAAAGGGTCAGGAGAATTTTACGACAATTTAGAACTCTCTGGCAATCGATAAACTCGCATTTGAACGGGATAAAGGCAAAAAAAGTGTAGTATGCGCTTCTTTGCTAAAACGATGGGAATACGAGGTCTCGGAGTGAAAATTTAATTGACCTGGAAATCACAGATGGCGCAGGGGGTCCCTCCGCAGTGAATTAGGGCCCCAGAAAGCACGAATCCAGAGGATTTCTGGAGTTTTACTACGACTTCTTTATAACTATTGTACGAAAACGACAGGTGGAGTATGCCATTTGGCATAATACCCAATATAATTCGGTACAGCTGTCAATATAGAGACGAACGTCGGCAACGTAGGCATTTAGAAAAATCTTTATCGACGTCGATCAAGTTCCTCGACGTGTTTCACGTCACCTTAAGGGCGGTTTTTCCTCGAGAGCTGGAGTTCCTCTTCTTAAACTTTTCTCCTAGTTTCCCTTTAACGTTCCATCGGATGGCTCGGTATCGATCGACCGGGAGATAATCGCCGCGATCGAGGCCTCGAACACGGGAGGGCCCCCTCGAATGCGCCGATCGCTGCACGTACGGCCTTCGAGAAGCGACTCCCGCAACGTGTCAAGGGCGAGTAACGAGGATTCCGCGGAAATCCGCGATTTGCGATATCCCGTATATCGTAGCACGACCGCCGGAGTTAATTGAAACCCCCGTGGAAGTCTTCCCATCGGCGGGAATCGCCTTCTCCGAGGTGGCCGTCGAGGGTACGTACGCGGTAAATTCCACGCGCCTCTGCCTCTGTACATTCGTCGCGTACGCTCTACGTGCGCATTCGGGGTACCGATTCACCGAGCGATACGATTGTTCGGTGCGCACCTTATCCACTTACAGAAACCACGGCATAAAGTATGCGGTTACGCGCGTACGTTCTTCCTCGGACCAATGGTCGATAATCGAGAATCGTCAATTGCCCGGGAACTCGTTACCCGTGATTTTTTTCTCGATGCTATGCCTCGAAGTATTCAAAATTAGAAGGATTATTTCCCCCGGATTAAATTACCCGTTAAGATTCCCGCTATCACGGGCTCGGAGAGGTTTCGACCAGTTTTCTCTTTTCCTAATTGCTCCGCCGCGCGTGAACTCAGAAATCGGATACAACCGCGGCCCGAAAGCGATTGCGGTTTGCGCAACGCGAGCAATTAGCGGCGTTATTGCCCGCCTAAGGAATAATCGTTCCTTTGACGAAACTGGGCCGCATCGCCCGGTTCCCGAGAATTGTCAATAAATTACCGAGTTGACAATAACGATCGTTGCGAGGAGCCTTTCGAAATTTTGCGCGGAGGTTGTCGCTCCTTTTTTTTTTTTCTTTTCCTTTTCGGCCATTTCATAATACTATCGTTTAATAATATTCGCCGGGAATACGGGCGGCTTGCAAATCTCAAGGAGAACGAAGCCAGGAATTTCATGGTTTTTCGTCCCGTTGGCCAATGTTGACGTTCCGAAAAACCATACATTTCGCTGGCCATTTCCGTCAAGGAACGTGGAACGACTTTCTCGTTAATAATTAAAATCCGAAACGTTCTTTGATACGTGGCTCATGAATCCGTGCTTAAAAACGTCCCTCGGTTTAGCGGCTATTTTAAAATGCCCACTCCGGTGAGAGCGGAACTCCTAACGACAGCCGAGGAAAATAGAAACACACGGCGAGCGGATTCGTAAAGGTGACACCGACCGATTTTGACGATAGCCGAGTCACGTCATCCCGTATATACGCGGGATAAAAAAAAAACTTGAAATACTCCAGAACACCCGAAATAAGCGTTATACCTGTCTCGAGTAAACACTCGTATGAAATAATTGCGCGTCTTCTCGTTAACAAAATTCGTCCCCTTCTAGGCACTAAACGGTGTTCTAAATAAATGCTAGAGAATAAGAAAAGAATGAATGCCTTCCGGGAGTGATAAAGTCGGTGTTACCTGGGATTCAAGGTAGACCCGGTGAGAGGACGGATCCGCAGGGTCCGCAGCGGAGCATCGAGCGGGGCGAGCGCGGAAGGCCAAGAGTGGAGGCGCCGGGCAGCTGTCAAAAGTCAGCCGAATTCTGCCGCGCGAAACCTCCTGCGAGAGGTCCCGGATTCGTGCGACCCTCTTCCAAGGGCGTGGAAAGTTATTGCGACGCGCGCGAGCGATAGGCGCGTCGAAATAGTCGGCCACCCCAGGCGGGGGTTGGGGAAAAAAAAAAGGGCGATCGGTTGACAGCGGCAGACGACGTCGCGCGGCCGCGTGTCAGCGGCGGGGCGTCGCGCCGGGGCGCGAGATTCGTAAATCCTTGAGGAGGGAAATAAAGCTCACCGGGTTTCGGCTCGCTCGGGACCGCGGTCGGGGGTTTCTCTCAGTTTCCGCGAGACGAGGCCATGCTCCCGACGGATCCACTGGTTATTAATCGGGATCGCGACTAGCCACACGGCCATACCCCTCGGCGGCGCGTCGCCAACTGGCGGCGCGCTCGCGCCTCTGGCGGCCGCGCGGCGAACCACTCGGCGCCCGGCCCGGTACAGTCCGCGCGAAAAGTCGAACGAGGACCCGCGAGTTTTTTCGCCCACATTCGCCCCTCCGACGGTTCGATTTTTTTTTTTTTCACTCGCCCGAGGGACGGCAAGGAGCTCCTCCGCGACCGACCCTCAGGCGCGGGGATGCAGGCCGGGGCAAACCTGCACCCCTGGGAGCCTTTTTGTTCGGCCTACTCCAAATGTTAGGTCAATATCAACGCATCGGAGCCCGGCGCAATAATTAGCATTTATACCGCGCTTTGCCCCGATAATGCTAACGAGGTCTCCCTGAGCGCCGCCTCGATATAACAAGAGCTATTATAAAGGCGCAAGGAAAATCACGGGAGCTCAGGAGACCAAATTGATTTCCGAAATTTCCTTTTTTTGGGCTTCGACAATTTAGGTCTACCGGTTGGATGGGTCGTTTGACCTTGTATGACACTTTTTTGGCTCGAGTGAGGGGCAAGGTGGAAGGTGGTAATTGATTTTCACTCACGCGACGTTCTCTCTATGGATCACCCCTGCGGACAGGTGTTCCTCGATTCGCGTTCGCTTCCACGGGAATGGTGGACTATGCGGATTTTGAACAGTCAGCAAATGTATTGATTTAGCAGCCACGTCAAACTCTGCAGACTGGATATGCCAGTGGATGGTTAAGAACGCCTTTCATACTTTTTTTTTTCACGCTGTTGATCTGTAAACGAGGCGGAGTTTTTTAACGCGTTCGATTTCTCACCTCTTTCGAGTGATCTCCACGATTTAAATAAAATATAAAATTGCCAAGATTCGGGATAAGAAATTGTTTTATTCGGCTGGAACGTTATCGAATACTTCGTAGATGCGATAACGAGGGTGACGACAACCCTGATTGACAGTCATCGACGGAATTTGTGCTCGCATTTCTGCGCACCAAGCGCGACGATGCCCTTGGCACTGCGCCATGTTTGATGACTTATTGTCAAGAGAATATCGGATCATCGACGAGCGGCTCGATCAAGTTCCTCTCCATCAGATCTTCTTAAAATACCTGCACTCTAAGTCGTACATCTTCGAGTCGAGTTCGGCAGACGGGCACTTCTGCAAAAGAAATCCATAGAAGGAAAAAAGGACATAGGAAACATCGCGATGGTATACATTTAATTGCTACGGCACGCGGTTAATCCGAACGGTAAACACAACTGTTGAACAGTGACCTCCTTGCTTTGAAAATGATTGATCGGCACAAGATGGAACCAATTGTGATATCGATCTACTATTGTGGGGCAAAGAATTATTCGCTAGCTTATTAACTTCCGATGAACGATTGCTCCACTTCGAGCCTAGTATTCTACTTCGAAAATTGTATGCTCGCTAGTCGTGGCAACTCGTAATAAAATGGTTAACCCGATATCATCATCAAAACAGACCTTCGAGATATATTTGTTGAATTAATTTAGGTGTGATCTACGAGATACTCTCTTGTATCGATCAATAAAGCACTAGGTTTATTTTTAATTGAACGTGCTTACCCTTTTTCTAATTGGTTCCTGAGAATCTTCAACGCTGTCATCGTCGTTATCTACTTTCCTCTGGAACGATAAAAACGCATATAGTAAATATAAAAAGATGCAATACAGGAATAAAATATTAAATATTACCCACCCAAAAGTCACTGTATTCAGGAGAAATGCTCTCCAAATATAACAGTCTATCTTCAATTTGTTTAAGTCTCTCGTAGACACTGCGTGGTACAGGCCTGTTTAAACCTAGGTTTTTCTCGGCATGTGAGAGTCTTTCATCTAGCGCAGGAGGATAAACATCGGAAGACTGCTGAGACGTTTCACAAGTTGATTTGTATAAACTTAGTGGATCGACTGTTTGTGGACCCCATGAATTCAATACTCTGTGTACTAAGAACAATTAAATAACTAGCTTTACGCAGCTATAGAGTAATGGTTAAAACATTAAATTATTAAATAGATACCTTTGACATGACTTTTCGAATCCTTGTGTCGAATGAGTACAGCATCCACTCTTGCACACGATTCTTCTTTCTCTTCATTCCTATCGCTACATAAGAACGAAAAGAATGTAGTTGTAACGGTACACATGTTGCTTCTTTTTTTTTGGTCGAAAAAACAAACCTGCGGCAGCAGAATTCCTGAACGTTTGCAACATTCACTTGCTCTCGTTTTCTTGCAATGAATGCTTGTATCCTACGATTCAGTTCCTCAGAATCTGCTTGAATTTGAACAAGGCTAGTGTCAAGCTTTGCTGTTATTGATTCATCCCCGGATTTAGTATCATTGATAGTATTACGATTTTTGCAAATGGTCGAGCTTCTCACAGTTCCTTTTTCATCTTTTGCAGCATCATCTACGAATTTTCAAACGATTCAGAAAATGTAAGGAAATGAAGAGAAATCTAAAATCTTCCTTAACGTAGAACAATCGATAAGGTTGGTTATTGCTTTCAAAATATTTATATTTAAAATAGTATAACAGGCATCATACTACAGAAGAAAAATCAGTAACGATGTTATAAAATTTGAAGTATACAAAAATACTCTTTGTTCAACAGAGTATATATAATACAGATTCTTGGTAAAATACTGAATCAGTGAATGCTTATAAAATAAACGAGCTTCAATGACCTGCACTTATAATAATCCTACCGCTGATAAACGCCGATAATATTTAATTATTTACTGGTAGACCAGACGCATTCCTTATTCTCTTTCCATTGCGGTTCTTCGTTGTCGTATACTTCCTTTTTCCATATAGGAACAGATGCTTTCAACGTGTCAATTGCAAATTGAACAGCCTGAAGAGATTCCGTTCTATGTGGGGATGAAATAGCTATGACGACACTAGCTTCTGAAATTGGAACATCACCGATGCGATGATATATAACAATATATTCGACGTTCCACTTCGATCGAATCATTAAGCAAATATTTTGCATCTCTTTTAGTGCCATTGGTTCGTAAGCTTCATACTCCAGCTTAACGACCTAAGCAATAAGAAATCCATTACAAACTGATTTTGTATCGTTAAAAAAATGATGCTTACCTTCTTATTTTCAAAATTATCACGCGTAATACCAATAAAGGAAGATATCGCTCCACAGTTTGGGGAGACTGCCAAATTTATAATATTTCCAGCATTCAGCTTCTCTTTTTGCAATTTAACGATATTTTTATTGATATCCATCTTAACCTATACTAACACAAAGATTACAATTTACCTACTTCTAAAATACGTGAAAAACAGAAAGCGTTCGTAAGACATTGCGAGATATAACTTATGTAATTTACATCAGAAAAATTCAAAACAAACCTCCACTGAGTGGCGGAATCACAGCGATCTCGTCCGTAGTTTTGAGGTTAAGAACAGCGTCTGGCGGCACGAATACTTCATTAACCGCCAAAATCAACGTATCGCGAATACTTTCCAAATGAAATTGCCGAAACACTCTATCCGCAAGATCTTGATACGATAAATTCTGAGGTACTAAAATATCCGACTCCTTAACACCGGCAAGCTCACGAGCTTTCGCAAAGAACAAGATTTTCACTCTGCTCTCTGATACTTCGGCACTCATCTCTCGTCAACAGTCTCCAAAGACAGTGCGACAAATTCTGAAAGTACCCCGACATTATCAAGCCGGGAGCAAGAACCGTGAAATTCCTCAAGCCACGTTACATAAGCTGCTGTCAGATGACAAATCGCGAAGCATCTACTTTCGGTCAAGTTGACGTCGCTAACGTTCGACGTATTTTTATCACTCAAACAATGGATAAAACCGGAAAAAATCACGGATTCCCCAAAAATTCGTTCCTTTATGAATGTTGAAAATATATCCGATATGTTTTTACATTTCCTGGATATTATTTAAACGTTGCATCGAATCACGTAGTAATGACGAAACACCTGTTAGATGGCGGCTCGTTCAAAGCGTCGGAGTGCGCGTGCGGTAATCAGGTCAGGGGAGGAATGAGGTCAACGAGGGGAGGCAGCGCACCGAGCGTTCCTACGTCATCACTCGAAAAAAACTGCAAGTTACAGCAAAATTTCAGATATTAGAGAATCCCCTTCATCCGTTAAAAGTGGATTACAAATATTTCACCGATCGAAACGGGGATTTTCAGGAGGACGGGTAGAGGCGCGTCGATACCGAACAGTCGCCAACATGACTTTCCTCGCAACGAAATAGGAATGGATTTCTGCGGCTACTCGGGTGGATATAGCGCGGGTGGATGCAAGGAAAACTTGGCTGCAGGATAAAGCCGTACAGTGTGGAGCAATAACCACCCACACGTCATAAGTATCCAATAGATATACATAAAACATTTTCATTTTACATAATACTTGGAAGAGTAAGTATTAAAACCGCCTACACCTAGAAAAATGCATCGAACCAAAGAAATGTTGCATCAAATTTGTTCGAATTAATTTCAATGAAATAATTCTTTTAACTAATAAAATATTTCTTTGGTTCAATGATATTTTTTTCCCAGTGTACGTATGCGTGAAACGCCACAGGGGTCTTAACGCCAAGTTTGGACTTGTTCAATTTTATGTTATCGATAATTTTCTAACTCTATTCTTCCCTCGACATGGACGGACCCGTTACGGCGATTACTTGCAGCTCTGGCGGCACGTTGCAGCAGCTACGAGCAGCAACAACAGCGGCGAGTCGCGGGGGCGGCGCGAGATGTCGCTTCCGTTCCGTGTGTCAACTCGGGAGAGGAGAAGAGAGGCGAAGGCGAGCAGCGGCCTTGGATAAGCATTGAAATGTATGCACGACGTGCTCGCAAGCAACACAATGCGCTCACGCTTAAGTATAGATGGATAGCCCGGTAACCCGGAGTCTAGGAAAGAATGCACGCGATCACCGTGGGGCAAGGACGCCGTTCTCCGGAGGGACTCGCCCCTTCGTCGATTGCGCAACGTCTCGCGGCGCATTCAGGAATCCTCTCAAATTTGCCCCTGAATGGCTGACTAATTGACCGGCTGGGGTGAGCTCAAAGACCCGCAGGCCAAGCTCCGGGCGTGTACAGGAAAACGTCCATTGTCGTCGAAAATTCATCGTGCGGCAAACACGTCGAGGAAGTGTTTTATGAAGGCACTGCTCCAGAAAAGAGCGACGAGTGGAGGATGCGCGACGTCGCAAGGGAATACCCGTCGACGCGAAGGATTGATACCGTGGATTACGCGTTAAGGCCTTTTATGTATATTTAGCTACTATGTACCCCCGTCTAGGATAGCTTTTTATGTAATCGACTATTTCCAACGATACAACACGACGGATACCACTTTTTGCGGTGGTTTTTCTTTTCCCTGTTACGTGATCCCATCTAGGTGGGATTTAGCCCCCAATGTTGATTCTACGGGGGCTCTCGCCCCCGCAATCCCGCACTTCCTTTGCCTTAGGCAACGAACCGGTCCCGGATGAGTACCTTGTACCTATAAGCTCTCTTCTTCCATACCCGTGACGCAACGAGGAAAAAATTTCCCTCGAGTATCGTTACCTAAGACTCTGGACGATTCGAAAGGTTGAAAATCCTCTCGAGTTGCCGATAGTGATTAATGCTATTACGTGTAATCTTAAACGAATCGTCCGCGTTGCATGGCAACGTTGAAAAGAACGGTTCGGCACCCGTTGATGTCACTTTTTCTTTGACATCCCGAGCACGTTCCCGCTGCACGTGTTTCTCATACGAGCTGCCAATGCAGCGCGGATAAAGCCAAATGCATTTGTCACCAGAGTTCGCAAGCATAACCGGATCGGCGAGTCCGAATGAAAGCGAATCGGAAAACAGGGGCAAAGTCCCTCGACGATGATTTCGTGATCCTCCGCGATAAGACCGTTAAGGTGATATGAAAGGGTCATTCAAGGAAACGTCAGTCCGTGATTAAGGAAGCTCTAAGGAAGCACGTGGTGCTCGTGAAATTTAATTTTTTATAAAAAATGTTTTATTGGGCCCAGACTAGAACCAAAAGTACATTTTTTTTTTTCTCAGGGTAGAATAACCCTTCCATGTCATCTTAACGAGTTTATTGGAAACACTAGGGGAATTGCTTCGGACGGTTACTTTCGACCTGGCCATGGGTCACTTAGCGCTTGTCGTATGACCAAAGGTTGCGTACGAGCTCACGCACCGAGGAAAACGGTCCGTGGAGTTGGACATCGATTCCCTCGAAAACGAAAGTGACGGAATTTTTCCCTCGGCCCGACAACCGGCCAGGAACAGCGGAACTTTCTTAGAAAAAGTCCCCGTATGCTGGCGTTCATTTTTCTTCCATTTAAACGCCACACCTTTCCGTTCCACGGGTTAAACGAACTTCGGAAAGTATAGAGACCGTTTCCCCTCGGCTCGGTAAAGCAATAGTGTCACGAGTCGCGAAGCAATGCCCGCTTTTAGTGCTAGATGTACATACTCGCACGTCCGCGAGGGTGCCGCGTGTACTCAGGTGAGTCTACACCTGGGCCGGTGAATCAGCCGATCGTCTAAGCGACCGAACGCCAAACCCGATGCACTCTAAAAAAGGTTAAAAAGGTCAAAAAATAACTCTGCGATACCTCGTCCCTCCAAACACGATGCACCCCCCCATAACAGTATTCCAAAGACCCATTGCCAAATGCCCGATAATTATAATCTAAATATCAACCATTAAATATTTTCTCTAACCTCCACCCAGCTTGAAACTCCAGGAAAGGCTTATCTCCTCTTCCAGATAAGTTGTACAGAATATATAGAATTTTTTATACGACAAATAGTACAGAAAATATCGAATTTTTTATACGATAAATAGTACAGAAAATATCGAATTTTTTTATTCGTCCGTAGTTTACGATCCAGGATACCGTAGCGAGGGGTTAAATCAGGTTCCACGAGAATTCGGGAGATCCAGGATCCCGGGGAACGCACTCGTCGCAGCCATCGACGTCGCCTCGAGGATGGGTCGCGTGCGCGTCGCGACGCCCAACGGCATTGCGACATGCGGCGACCCGAAAATAGCGACTCTCGCTTCGCCCCCTCTCGTTAATATCATATCGGCTCGGATCAGGACGACCGTCGTTATCTCGAGGCTTAGTCGTCTCGGACGGTTCCCGAGAATTAGTCAGGAAACGGTACCCTCGGATGACTTTCCCCCATTGTCTCCTAATTGGCCGCGCGTCATCGCCGAGCCATCGCCGAAGCGTCCGGACGCTATCTCCGTATTGATACAAAATTATCGCCAGTTTTTACTCCTAACGCTCCCGATAACGCGGGTATCTGGCGCGGAAAACATCGACGGATGCCCGATACCGTAACGTCCCTAGAACATACCGCGTAACCAACGACTCGTCCTCGTTAGGGAGGCGTCCCCTCCTGCGCGCACCCCACACCTAGGTTATAAGCCTAAACCGTGAACTTAGCTCTCGTTCGGGACGAAATGGGTTAACGAGGCGCTCCGCCGCGAAACGGGGCCCCTGAACATTTTTTTTTCTCTTTCTAAGAATTCTCAAAAATCACTCGAAAGTGCGGCTCGTTAGCGCGGCCTTAAAGAGAGTGACCGAGAATTCGAGTTTTCAGGAATTTCCGGAAAATCGGCTCGATTTTATCGGCACTTTTCCTCGCTCGGAATCTGCACCATGAAGTGGTACGCCGGTGGTCGGTTCCACGGGAAGTGACTGCGAAGATCGATTCTCCACCTCGATCGCAGCGTCGGATGCGACGCGTGGGCGTCGCCGATCGGCCTTCGTCGTACAATTGAAAATCAGACGCGGTTCGCGCTTACTCGGGTGATGTCGGAGGCAGATCGGCGCGCGCGAGGTACCGCGAGGTCCACCACTCGACGACCCAGCTCCGAGGGCGTCGCGACGCGCCGTCGACGCGGCTGGGCGCATCCGTGGGCGCGCTTTCCGACATACCCCACATGCGCGCGGTATCGATACATTCCAGTCGACTTATACTTACGTAACGAGCGACCACCACTACGGGCGCCCTATAAACTCGGCGTTTATTCAACGCCGCGACGGCGGGGCCGTTTGATTCGCGGCGCCCTTGTGTGCACTTGCGCGGTGGAGCGTTAAAAATAAATCCAATTAACGATCGGAAAAATCGGCTCCCCGCGGCCACTCCGCTGGTCTTAGAGTGGCTCGGGGATTTTTGTGGAGCTTTTCCCACCACGGCGGACAATCTCGGATTGCGTTATCTCGGTCGTGAGGGAGGACGCGACGTACCGGTATCGGCGTTTGGGAGAATAAAAAAAAATCTGCACGCAGGGAGTTGGGAAATCGTGGGATTACGTCAAAAGGCGCATCGTCGGGGTCCTGGAGAGGTCGGCCGAGCGGTCCGGTCGACGAAACGCAAAAACGTGCGAGATAAGATTAATTCCCGGCGGTTGCGCCTCCGAGCGGATGTCGAGCGATGCCGAACAATGCCGAGCATTGCCGAGCGAGGCGGGCACGTGGTTCGGTGGTCCTGCGGACGATCGGTCGGCGCGGGGCGCGCGACGGGGAAGAAGCCGAGAGACCGGCGCATTTTACATTCATTTTCGGATTAACGAAATATCGGCCCTGTTCTGTGCCAAATCGCGCCGAATTCCCGGGATGTTGTGCGTAAATATTTTTAACGGAAAGAAAATAAAACTTTATGATCAATATTTCTTAAGAATATTTATTACCCTTTAACTTGAACTTTGAGGTGCATCGAAGAGAATCGTTACTTGAACGAAGAAACCTAAAGTATATAACTAAGAAAAATTAACGTTCTCATAAATTGTCGATATTCTCGGTAACTTATGATACGTTTCACGGTTACCTTCTCCGATTCCGTGTTACCGAGAATTTTTAAACTCTACAGAGACCGTCGCAACGAGGCGGAACGATTTCCCGACTCGCGAAAAACGAGCGACGAGTCTCCGGAATTCGTTCCGGAGGAGTCCGTGACGTATCGTCCGCGGTCTAGGTCGAGGCGCAGGCGTCTCGCCGTCAGGTCCCGGATTCCCGAAATTCCAGCTCTCGAGGCGTCGCAGGGACGTAGAAGAAGCCAAAGGCGAAAGACCCCCGTCCGTTTGGGAGGGTCGGGTGATCAATTTGAAGAAATGCGGTGTTTCTTCGAGCGGCGCGAAGGGAGGGCGATGTTTGGTCACGTGACCGAGATTCGGTAGTTTGGCCCAGTGAGCCAGTCCGCGGTGCACGGGCGGCCGGGGACGTCGGCTCGGCTCGGCTGATCTCGGCTCGACTCGGCCGGGCTCGGCGAATGGCGACGCGCCTCGCGTCGACTACGTTCCTGGGCGGGGTGGTGGGGAGCGCATGACGAAGCCCGCGAAAGCACGAGAGGAAGAGAGAGAGGGCGCTGGGGCGAGAGAGAGGCCTCCAGGCGGCGCAGTGCGGTGGGAGCGAGAGGGCAGGGCGAGCGGGGTATCGGCCAGCTGGTTGGCGAGGGAGCCGCGAGGGAGCCGCGCTCGCAGTCGCAAGTGAGACGCGACAGCCCGCGAGCCCGTGCGTCCCGTCGTCCGTCGTCGCCTTTCCCGTGTCCGCTCCGCCCGTCGTCCGGACGTCGCGCTGGTCCGCGAACGCGGTACCCGGCGGCAAGCAGACCGAACGCGACCTCGCGGCCACGTCCGATCCCGAGCCATCCCGGAGCCCGCGTCGCCTTTCTCTGTCTCTCTCTCTCTTTCTCTCTCTCGCGTAGTCGGTGCGTGCGAGCCCTCGGCCGAGATCCAAGATGGCGGCCGACTCGGGAATGGAGACGTGTCCGTCCCCGGAGATCGTCGACTCCAGGAAGCGGCCGCTCGACTGCGAGACGGAGAACGGCGCGACGAAGAGGTCGCACTACGGGACAGGTATGGTGAGCCGCCCGGAAGACCCGGAGCCCGTCGTCCGTCCTCTCCTCCCTCTCCGCGGTCGCGGGCGCGCGCTCGCTCGCTCTCTCCTCTCCGTCCCTCCCTCGCTCGCTCTCTCTCTTGACAATCGCGCTGTTGACACGGCGGGTCGCGCGCGCTGCCTCGGCCCTCCCTCTTGGTTCCCGCGGGTCCCGGGCGAGGCGAGTGGCGCCCAGTGTCGCGCCCGGTCGCGCATCCTCGACCGCCACGTCTCGCGCGCCCTCCCCCTGGCCCCGCCGTTTGAATTTGACGTCGCGCTCGGCCCGCGCCCGCGGGGCGGCTTGCGTGGGCGACTCGACCGAGCCCGCGCTCGATGGAGGACCGTCCGTGACTCCGCAGCTTTCTCACCGCGGCGCTCGGCGCGCCAACTCGGCCCCTGTTGGGACCGACCGCGCGTCGTCCTCCCGAGATCCTCGTCGTCGTCGTCGTCGTCGACAACCTAGGACCCGCGATGTGGCGCAGCGGTGAGTCCTCGAGGTCGTGGGTCAAGGTCGGAACGCGCGTCGCTCGCCAAGTCGTCCGTTGAACAGCTGTTTGCCCACCGAGCGAAGAGGTTCGGAGCTGCCTGGAGCTTTTTGCTCCCCACGAGCTGTGCTTTCTTCGTTTTGTTCGGTCTCGAGTCGAGTCGGAGAGCGGACCAAAGGGTGCCACTCGTCACGGTCGCTAGGATGACATGAAAACATCTGTCGTGGCATGGCCCAGCTTTGCCTGTCGAGTCGACGGCTCCGTATGAGCTCGGTCGAGGGCACGAGGCCTTGTCTTCTCCGGAATGACTATCGTCTAGATGGACGGTGGATAGGAACGAGAGGAGTAATCGGTGCTTTGTGGTTTTCAGGTGGAGATGGAACGTATCACCTCAAAGTCCTGGTACCTGGAGTGGCGGCCGGGGCCATCATCGGGAAAGGAGGCGAGACCATTGCTCAATTACAAAAGGATACAGGGGCTAGGGTTAAAATGTCAAAGTCGCACGATTTTTATCCAGGTAGGACGTCGATTACTCTCCGTAGTTTATGTAAGAGTCCTTCCATCGAGATGCACTGTCATGCGATCGCATTGCCTTTTTCTTTGTATTTTTTAGGAACAACGGAACGGGTATGCTTGATAACTGGGAGCGTCGATGCCATAATGGCTGTGATGGATTTCATAATGGAAAAAATCCGCGAGAAACCTGACCTTACGTCCAAGACCACGGTTGATTTTGACTCTGGAAAAACTACAGCGGAAAGGGACAAGCAGGTACTAAAAGTAACGGTGCGCAGTGTAGTATATTTTTGTTACGACTTTAAGTAGTGACGATACAAGTTGACAAGTTGCTCGCTGTGTCTAATTATTCCACGTGAAGTGTACTCTGCAAGGCATTTATTTGCTCTGCGTGTTAGCATAGCTTTGTCTATTGTTCTCGATGCGATAAGCAAAGCAGTGGGTGTCTACTTATCTTTACCGATGATCATTAAGTATAGCGGTAGGGCGAAGATCGGTCATTTCTTTTCATAGCCTCGTGACGCGAAGCAGATGTCCATACACGTCTAATGTCGTAATAACGTTGGATCTCTTATGATTTTCGTTATATCACAGGAGGCACATGTACGGTGGAAAAAGATCGGTCGTGCCGTAGAGAGTGAATGCGGGCAAAAGTAAGATATTTTCAACTATGAGAAAGGATCGTTAACGTTGCATAATACCGATAGCACGCGTCGTTATTGCAACTTACAGCATCGAGTGAAATTGAGCGTATCTACCAGAAGCAGAGTGAAGTCATACTGTGCGACTTTTGCTCGTTAGCAATGACCCAGTTAGCGAGTGCTTGTATGGTTAATGATCTGAAACGCACACCGTGTGCTACGGTGCTTCACCCTGCCTCGAGTGATATCAATTTGCAAAAGAAACGTTTCAACTATTTGTGCCAGTTGTCTCTTAAGGCTTCGGAATCATGGACGCGATCGGCTTGATACCACTTTCCCGTTTAGCGACGGTTGTCCTTGGGTTATGCGCGGGTTAGATGTCGCAAGGCCCCGTCCTTTTGAATAGGCGTAATTATCATCTGGTGCGGTCATTCTAAATCGAGCACGCTCGCGTACGCTTCCGAGCACCAGATAAAGACGAAAACAAAGCGATTCTCTGTGTTACAGGTCAAGATCCTGGTGCCCAACAGCACCGCGGGCATGATAATCGGCAAGGGTGGGAATTACATCAAACAAATCAAAGAGGAATCCGGCTCCTATGTTCAAATCAGCCAGAAAGCCAAGGACCTGTCTCTTCAGGAACGGTGCATCACCGTTCTCGGGGAGAAGGACAACAATCGCAACGCTCTGCTTATGATCCTGGCCAAGGTGGCGGACGATCCGCAGAGTGGAACGTGCCTTAATGTCAGCTACGCGGACGTAAGCGGTCCCGTCGCTAATTACAACCCAACGGGTAGCCCTTACGCTCAAGCTCCTGCTGGGACGCCGACGTACAGTGCCACTGCGGGTCTAAATACAGGTACTACACTTTTGGCGTTCTCCGAAAACCGCTTCTTCGTCACCTTCCCGGCGCACTCGAGGCGCCGCCAAATTGCTTTCACTTCGGGAAAGCGAGAAAAATTCAAGGAAATACTTTTCCAACACCTTAGCGGGTATCTCGTGGAATCCTTGGGATTTACTCCACCTACTATGCGCGGTGAAACTTACTTTTCGGCAGTTAAAATCGAGGCGGTAATTTGGGCTCGTAAAGTTAGGCAAACTGCCCCATGTATGGTGCAAAAGATTACGCTCACTCGTGCGGGGGAAATTCCCCATAAAGAACGGCAAGGTGTAATAGGACATTCTGTATTCTCGGGCGGAACCGCGGAAGAACGTAATGCAGTGTCCCGTTTATAATGTGGACGTTAACGTAATGCGCGAGGCTGGGGATGGTTTTTTTTTTACAGCGTTTCTCACCGTCGAGTTGCGGAGCGGTATGGCGTTTGAAAGTATCCGGAAGGACCGCTGCGTGCGACGATAGTCATTGTTGTAATTAGCGGTGACGGGTCTCTGGTCGTCTCGGTGCCCTAACGACCCCGTAATGATGCTCGAGGGGTACTTCGGTGGCAAGTTACCCAGGGATGTATCCGAAGTTCGGTAACTGGGTCGCGGGACCACCTGGACCGCAAATACTGTGCAACGTACCTGGAGAACGTACCTACAATAAGCGACTGGGATATCTGGTCAACGCGAATTAGGTCGCGTGTCACTCGACCGGCGGAAAACGGAGAGGATATTAATCCTGGAAATTTGAATGGAGCATATATCCCGGCGGCTTCGTACGGAGCATTGTGCCCGACGATATCGACGAGAGCGCACCCACGGTCGGCGGGGCACTTCGAGTAATAGGACGATCCGACCGTACGCGGCGGTTAATCGGGCACAAACAATTATGCCTGGTTCCACCAACCTCGGTTAAATCATTGATTACCTAACCGTAGGTTGAAGTAACATCTAATCATAGGTTAAAAAAAAATAAACGTTCCAATTTATTTATTTAGAGCGTGCAGATTAGTAAATCGTATACACAATTCGAAGTACATTGAATAGTCGGTGAACGAGTTCGCATGATTGAAGGTAGTTGGTGGAATCGGGCATTAATTCCATGTACGTTTAATTGCGCCCGGAGTGCACGTTCGGCGCGTAGGATCCGAACGGTCGTGCACGAACGCCCTTGAAAGAGGCCGGCAATTGAAGTAATTATATCGCACGCAGGGGTAATTTAAGCGGCGCGTCGTTGTCGAGTAGTTAGAAGGATAGACGCAGAACGCACGGAGCAAGCGGTAAACCGAAACACTTGTTTCAGTGAGCCTCCTAAACGGTGCCGGGCTGAGTCTGAATCTGAACCTGGGGGCGGCCATGACGGCGGGCACGGCCCCGGTGACGACGCAGTTCCTGGAGCACATAAAGCTGAACCTGCGGACCACCGGGTTCACGGAGCAGGCGGCCTCGGAAATCCTTGGGGCAATCGCCACCCTGGTCAAGTACAACACCCTCGGGGTGGGGATCGGCGTGCCGACGAGCGTGAGCTACCTCGGCACCCCGATGGACAGCACCACGACGGCGAACGGGTCGAACAACAACGGGGGCGTTTTCGGGCCCATCGGGACGGTCCCTGCCCTGGGCTCGACCTCGCCGACCTCCCGGTCGACCATCGACCGGTACGAGCCGTTCGACCCGTTCCGGCAGAACAGCACCGCCGCCGGCGCCATCCACCTCAACAACAACTCGTTCGGGCTGGGCACCAACCAGCTGTCGCTCGTAAGTAAGAGCCCCATTCAGGTAGACACCAACAGCCAGGAGACCACGAAACTAGAGTTAGGGATACCCGAGATCATTGTCGGCGCCATTTTGGGACCAGGCGGCCGTGCCCTGGTAGACATTCAGCGGCACAGCCGCGCCAGCATCCAGATCTCGAAGAAGGGCATGTTCGCGCCTGGTACCAGAAACCGCATTGTCACTATCACGGGCACACCGCAGATGATACGGACCGCGCGCGAGGGGATCGAGCAGCGGATTAAAGAGGAGGAGACGAAGAGAGCTTGTCACAACGCCCTGGCGGGTATAATCCACTGATTCCTCCGCGACCAGCGGCGAACTCGAGCCGAGACCATCCCCGAAATCGCGAGCCTCGCCTCCTCTCGCGCGCGTCGACCCTGAGACGCTAGGGCAGCTCCCTCTCCTTAGGTACCTTTGACACATACACACCACAGACACGTACACACATGTACACCCTCTCTACCCGCGCCAATCGCCACCTCTCGGTCTCTCACCCTGTATCGCCCTGTCGCGTCATAGCGCTTGCATCGCCACACACAACACACACACACACATCACCATCCTTGCATCCATCACGGCTCGTTGACATTTATCTACCTTTAAGGTTCGTAAGATATAAATATTACATATAATATATATAATAAATATATATATATATATATATACATATGATAACTATTGCAATTGTTCTGTGATACACCACGTTACGGGGCTTTATCACACAGAAACACGTACACACACACACAAACACACAGAGAGAGAAAGAGAGAGAGAGAGAGAGATCCGCGCGAAACGCGGAGAAACGCGATAACCACGTCGGAGCTACGGAATATCTACATGTAATTATTACGGTATTGCACTGATAGAAATGCACGATGTAAATTTACATACACTCGATCATTGGTTATTCTGATGCCACGATGAATTGCAATAAAATCGTAGAAAATTATAATGTAATATATTACGTTAAATTCCATGTAAGAATGCACCTATACGGTGGATGTACAATGTTAAGGGTGTTTATACGTTCTTTTAATTCGTAATTCTTAAATTTTACGTCTTTCTACGTGGAAGTTAAGTTACGAAGGGGGCGGATGAGTGTGTATGTAAATTTCCATTGGTTTTTTATTTTTATCAGTGTGGGAACTCGTAGGTGGCACGACGGAACTTTTGTCACGAGTCGGCCGACGAAAGGCGTCGTTCGGTTGCTAAGGATCTTTAGAGCGCCCCGGACGGCATAGTTACCGACGCGGGGAGGCGTCCCGGCGCTTCCGCGGGCTAGGGTCCTGCGGAAGGGCCGCAACGGAGGCCCCCGTTTTAATATTTAATCCCGAACGGGGTGCTCCGACCGGACGACGCGTTTCGGGCGATCGCTTGGGGCGAGATGTGGCCAGGGCAAATCGTTGGAATCGTTACTCAACGCGCTATCGAGCGAATCGCATGCTTGTCAGGCCCGGTGGTAACCGCTTGACAATACCAAAGATTTTATACGTGCCGATCAGGAAAGAGCTTGGTCTTGAAATCTCTCTATCTCCGAAGCTGGCTGGTCCGGCTGAAGCATGTAACGTTATAATTCCTCGTTGCCAAGGTCCACTCTTAGGTCTTCTTATGTAACGCGGTTCGGTTCGTCCAGGGAGTATGCACCACACTCGTACACGCATACGTACATGTACACGGATACGGATACGCCACGCATTAACCGTGTTAATGATCCCCGCGATGATAGCGGATTGGATATTGTCGGGAGAATCGAACGCGGTTGCATGCAATGTTTTTTTTTTCTTTTTCATATTTTCATCTTTTTTTTTTCTTTTTTTTTTTTCCTTCGGGGGAACGCGTGTCGTAACGGAGGGACACTCGCCGCGCGTCGTGGTGCGTGCGGTTCTAGACCAGGGACGCTTACGTACAAAATTCCATTCCATGGTTCTCGTCAATTAGGGACTCTTTTGCTCCGTCTGGCAGTGGGCGCGGTTGCGAGATCTTGGTTCTTGACTTTCGTTCTCGTTTCCTCTTCTTTCCTTTGGTTTCTTTCTTCCCTCGCTCCGAGGTTGGACGATCGAGCTCAGGACAGTCTTGTCGAAGCCTGGGATGGGCGCTCCTGCACCTGAGGAGTTCTTTCTCTTGATACTGTTTTTTTTTTCTTTTCTTTTTTTCCCCATCCTTTCTTACCGTGGACTATTTAGCGCAATCCCGAGGGAGATATTTTTGGCCGGGTGGATCTTCGAACGACCGCTCGTTCGTCGCTGAAGCGTTCTCGTGTCCTGGTGCGCCCATCCTTGGTCTTATGCCGCCACTAATGTTGGTTCACGCGCTGCCCTTGCACGGGACACCGACGCGGGGCCTTTGCACGCGATTGCGAGTATTTTGCCGACGGTGTTGTTGATTGTTATAAATGAGGGAATCGACGCCCCGCGTCGGTACGCGTCCCGCCTCGACGAGGTGCGGGGGCCGCCGCGTGAGCGTTGTCATAGAACGTCGGGACGCTCGCGGAGACGAGCGCCCCGTCGAGTACGCTTAATAGGAACGCCGTAGACATGTAAAGAAAAGAGGAACAAAAAAACGTTATACGAGGGATCGTAGGAAAGTGTCCGACTTGGCCGCGTATCGTCGGCCTGGCACGATAGATTCGCTTGATAAATATCCTCAAGGACGGGAAAACCAGTTCCGACGATGGAGTATTATATTTTCTACTGAAATTCCAGGAGATATAGCGAGCGCTCGTCGCGGTTATTATTAATTCACCTTTCCTTTCTTTCTTTTTTTGTCATTTTTTTTTCATTTTTTAATTTTTTTTTAATTTTTTTTTATTTGTGTCACACATACGACCTTCGGCCGTTTATCGTTTTAACGAGATTTAACGCGACTTTTCCCGAGACTCCCCGTCAAGATGAATTCAACGTACCGAGTGCAGGGCCTCTCGTCTTCGGAATCTGCCCGAGTTCCTCTGCTTTTCTTTCCTGTACCTAAAAATCATGCCCAGCCAGTGAAACTCAAAATTAAATTGTATATATATGTATATTAGAAATATTCATTGAATATTTTGCACGCGATGTGTACCATCCGAGTATGGATCGAATTCGAGCAAGCCGAAATCTCGGTCCCGAGGCCTTGCAACAATGTGGCGGGAGTGATTGCTCTCCTCTTTCTTTTCTTTTTTTCTTCCTTTTTCCTTCCCGTTTTTATCGGGCGAGTCCCATTGCGCGCGGTATACATGATATATATATATATTTTTTCTTCTTTTTAATCGTGCCGTTTTAATTCCTTTTGTTGATGCCACTGCGAGTTCGATACGGGTTTATTGTCGCGCGTACGCTACGTTGTCGTTTTAGGATTTTCTTGGAGAGAATTCGATTTTAAGCCCAGGTCTCTCATGATCTGTGCGCTTGTCAGATTCGAGGGAGGGAGATGCTTGCTAGGTATTAAAAAAGCAAAAAAACAAAAATATTCTCGATAATTGTTTCGGNAGGAAATTGAATGATATTATAAATATTGTTGACGAGGCATTTGCGTCCGCGAAGGGAAAAGATAAATTTTATGTTTATTCATAAATTCTATATATGAACTATTGAAAAGCCGTGTTGCTCCGATGCGAATCGAGGGGTCGCTGATAACGATAAGCCGGTTAACAACACGGGCGTAGATAGATTCAATCGAAAATTCAAATACGATGTCTTGTTAGTGTTATTCATAGCGTTACTGTAATTTATATATATGTATATCTACACATACACACACACACACACCACCCACATATATACATATATACACACACTCACGTACATCCGCATATATATAGATAAGCGTGTCGTTCGTGGCGCGACGCCATCTACATCAACTAATATGCATAATGATTCTTTAATATCAATTCTACACATTTCCATCGATCACATTATCACGAGCATCATCACATTAGGTTATAATTCTTCGAGTCGTTGGTTACGTCGAGGCATTGTCGTCGCCATTCTCCGATCGGGCGTTAAGTGTTACATTAAAAACAAAACGAAGAAAAAAAAAAAAAAGCACCGGCGTTTATTAGTTGGACCGCTGCCTAATCTGTAGGCGGGAGCGTAATTAATTTTTATCGCGATAATGGGAGTCACTGGCTCGCTTTCTGTAAAGCACGGACACGGTACACGTATAGAGATATGAAAGTAAGAGTGGTACAGATTTGAACGTCAAAAGCTAAATGTAATGCGGAATATGATTTCGAGGCAGAACTGCGAAATGGCAATTTTGACTCGAAGACATTGCTGAGAGGTCTGGATTAAGAATGTTTCGTGTTTGTCGCTCACGCGTGTATGCGTGTTACGTGTGCTTTACATGGTGGCTGTCATACCCCCTTAGGAAGAAAGTGGTTTTTTCTTCCGATTATGAGAGACACTAGTGGGAACTCCAATCGACCACTTTCTTCCTTGAATTGACAGGAGTTACTCTCGTTCATCGATTAGCTCTACAATCGAGAAATATCATTGTCGGACAGATTTGTGTTTGCATACTAACGACTTATTCTATTCCGTCTGTCGCGTTACCGTGGCGATCGTAATTGTACATCGTGAAGGAATTAACCCACGTGTTCGTGCGGTGCGTGTCGAAATTAAAGCTTGTCATTTTCCCGAGAGGAAAGCAGGAGGAAACGTATGCACCCACTTTTTGGCACCTTTTTGATCGTCTTGCGAGGTAGAGGGAAGAGAAAAGAAAAATAATACAAGTTGGTTCGATAGAGACTTATCAGATTTTTTTGTATTCCTCTTTTTTTTTTTTCATTTTTTATCGTGGCCAATTCGTTGCGTCTACGCATTATCGGCATTAGAGCATATCGTAGGGAATGGAAATTGGGAAAGGAGGAAGATCCTCGTTATTTGTATGCACCGTTCAATTAGGATTTTTGGATCCGTCGCGTGACTCCAGATCGGAGTATTAATTAAGCGTTGCTAGTAGTTAAAATATTATGTCTAATATCTGGGACTGCCAGGTCTCGCCGGGACGTAGGAAGCCGAAAGGGGGAAATTAACGCCTCCTAGGGGAAACTCGCGTTTCTGATTTACGGATAAAGGTGTCTCTTGATTGACAACGCTTTTAAGGGTGGCGCTTTTATCGAGGGCTCCCCGAGCTTGCTGTTTAAAATCGAGCGAGTGGGCTATCGCGTCGTTCTCCACGTCTCTCTCGATTAGTATCACGTGGGAAGGGCCTTTTGCGGGTTCGAGTATTAAATTAGTCCGTTTTCCGTCGACGAATTGCTGTTAGTACAAAGTTAAAGGTGCCAAGGCGTGCATCTGCACAGGTAGAGGGCAGGCTCGACGACTCGTAGATAGCAAAAGCCTTGATTGCCGTGATTCCCGCATTAATCAGGGTGTCCATTCATCGCGAGAATCGTTAAGGTGATATGAAAGGGCCATTCTATACATAATGAAACGTCAAAATGTTTGTACCATTTTTCTCCCGACTGGGTGTACCGAAGCATGTGTAACTTCAACACGTGATTATGGAGGTCCTAAGAAAGAACGTGGCGTTCATGAAATTTTAATTAAATAAAATATATATATCTATTCTTGGCTCTGTCTGGGCTAAATAGAACTTTTTTCTTCTGTTTTTTTTTTTTTTATCAAATATGAAATTTCACGAGCACCGCGTTCTTCCCTAGGGTCTCCGTAATCACATGGTGAATTTTCAAATTATTGGGTGCATCCAATTTGGAGAAAAGTTTCATAAATATTTTGTCGTTTTATGTATATAAAGTGACTCTTTTTATCACCTTAAGAACTCGACAAGTTAATTCTTTATCAGCCGATCGGACGCGTCTCCGACTCTGAGATTTCTTGTAAAATAAATAAATCACAATTAAACAGGTGGTCCTGAAAAATGATCGTTAATAATTTGTCGATCCTCGAACGTGCGAGGGCACCCTGGTTAGGCGTGGAACGAGCACCTAGGAATTTTGGCGCCCGAGGGCTCTTGGCGCACCTCCACGTCCCGATGCTCCAAATATCTTATATGGAATTTTCTTTCTTTTATTTTTTTTTTCCTACCGACGCGGTTTGTCAACACCCGAGAGCGTCCAACCTTACGCGTGCACGCCGTCCTGGTCGTCGGGTTAATTTTGAGCGAGGTCGACGAGCCGACACCGACACCGTTCGACACCTCGACACCTAACATCACGCGCCGCTCTATCTAACACGCTCACCGACACCTCACTCCGGTGAAAATGCAGGAAAATTGTATTTCTTTGCGCAGGGAAATTAGGCTCGCCGGCACGCATATACTCTAGCCGAGGCTCCAGCACCGGGGAAGCCGCATGCCCGACCCCGTTTCGATTTCTAAGGTCGATTCGGCCCGACCGTGGTCGTTGACGGTCGAACGCCGACCTTTCTTTGCGCATTTGCCAGGGGAAAACGGTCGGCGCAGATCTCGGTAAGGATGGAAACCAAAAGGAAACGAAGACTCCGCCAGATATATCCTCTCGGTCGATTGCTCGTTCCTTGCCAGGCGTTACGCATCGCCCTCGGATTTTTTTTTCTTGCATTGATTATATCTCGCCGAATCGCGTCCATTAAATTCCTGAAATTCTCCAAGTATTTTTATTTTTCATATTTTATACATCATGTTTTTTGGCTTCTTCGAGATATTGGCTCGATAGTCCGCCGGAGCGGAACCGGATGACCTTCTGACCCAGAATCCTGGTTCTGGTCCAGCAGGATCTCTCCTTTCCATCTCTTTTCCACGAGGCGAGCGTAACGTCGAGCCCACCAGGACGAGCTCTCGTTCCAGATCCCTGGGTCCCAGCGCCGATTGCCGTCCCTAAGCGCAAGTGCTCGATGCGACGACCATGACCGTGACCATCGCCTTGGGAGATTAATATCGCGAGAGCCGGTTTAATTAATTCGGGGCTCGATTTAGCCCGGCTCGGATTAGTATCTCGACGCGGCTGGCCCGTCCGAGGCTCTTCGCGATGCGAAATTTCCTCCTCCCCGATCGCGGAACCCCTTAACTAGGATCGGTTCCTTCGAGACAATAAATTGTCGATGTACTTTGACGCTGATTGTTCCTAGTCGCGAAACTGACTGCGAAACTCGCTCGGAAATCGTCCGGCTCCAGGTGGAAGAGGCCGGCGACGTCGTAGCGTGCCTTCCTTTTGCGACGCGTAGAGTTCTGCCTGACGAATCGGAATCGATCGACCATTTTGGGGAGATGGCACGATTTGCCAGCGATAACGAGCGCGGATGATTTATTTATTAATTAATTTATTTAGTTTACTTCTTTTTTTTTTTTTTTTTTCAAAAATTTCCTACATTGAACAAACAGTCCCTGGCTGAGTTTCGATTAATCCCGAAGTCGACTACAGTGCCAATTTTGAATATCATTATTCCGATATGTAATGCAGATTAATTATTTTTTAACGGAGATTTTCATGTCGATCCGAGGTAACTCGACACGTCCGAGGAGCACGGATGGAATGTCTTTGGTACAGCATCCGGCTTGCTACGGTGGCAAATTAGTTCCTTTTTTCCCCAAAACTTCCAAGTACTGAGCTCTCTGCGCCAGGATTCGATTCCTGCGAAACTTTCCGCGGATAATAGGCGAACGACGGGTGGAGTTTCCCTCGTTACTTCCCGAAGCGCTCCGGGGGAACGCTTTTACTTAGCATCTTTTTTTTTTTTTTTTTCTTCACCCCCCTCAATCCGGGTATATTGGAAATAAATATCGTGCATTAAGACGAGATGGAAGTAACGAGAGGGAAATTTTTTCTTCGGAGATTATCGTCGTTCGTTGATTAGGATGGGTTTCGCGGGTCTCGTCGGGCTCGGTGGTCCAGCTCGGGGAATGAGGTTGACTCTTCGTCGTACGTACCTGTCTCTTCGGTAATAAGCTCGTGCAGTTCCTGAGGGTTGTTAGAAGCGGTAAAAAAGTCCTTCTTCCGGCCACCGACTCGAAAACTCGGCTTCCACGCCGGACGATTTCCGAAATCCTCGAGCCTCGCAGCCCTCGAGGTCGGCCGAGCTATCTACGAGTCCGGAAATCGAGCCCACGGTCAAAAGGCTCCGTGTCGAGGAAATCGACCCAGAAGTCGTCCTCGCGAGCATCTTCGATCCTTCGAGCCGATCCAACCGAAAGTCGATTCGACCTCCCCCGGGCTCTCTAATGAAAATCCTTGCCCTGGGCCTCGCTCCCCAAAAGTCGAGTCGGGCGGCGACTCTAGGTCCTTGGCTTGTATAAAACAAGAGAAAGAAATTAAAAAAAAAATAGGAATCATCCTTGTCGCTCGGGAACTCGTCGCGTCACATATCCTTCCATCTCTGAGAAATGCCGATCGACGAACGGGAAGCGAGTGTTAGATAAAATAATAGATATAAAAATGAAAAGTGCAGGAGGATGGCAGGGATTACGGGGGAGCCTGGAAAGGAGAAAAGTGGGGGGAAAATTCGAATCCTGGCGAAGGATCGAGGATGGTGCCTGTTA